ACTATTTTACTTTATTTTATTTTATTGATTTAATTATTTTTATTTTCTTTTTGCAAATTAAACTAATTTACTTCTTCCCCTATGAGTCTATTTTCCTTGTGGGGAGCAGAAAGTAGCGAGAGTAACCACGAGGCAAAGAGGAAAAGAGCCTTTGCCTATAAATTAGTTTTCACTGGCTCCTTTGCTCCCCAAAGGCCATAGGACGACTGTGGGTTAGCAAGAAATACAGCTATTTGGGATTATGCATGGATAAAACAGAGTTATCCTCATGAGCTGATGATATGTCATCATGTATTACAATCCCGCAGATACGAATTTGGCCTGGAATTGTGGAGGCAAAGTTCAGCAGATCTGGAAAGTAATTTACAGTGTAAAATGATCGTCTTTATTGAAGAATGTCACCATGTAGACAGGGGAATTAGGGCAAACAAATCCCGGTGATTTATAGGTTACCACAGCAGTTATCATTGAAAGAAGCAGCAGCAGACTGGGTTTTATCTGCTTCCCAAGACACTGGGATATTTAACTACGTGGTAAGTATTAAGAGGATGGTTTTGGTGTGCTGCTACTGCTTTCCTTCCAAGTGACCCCATCCCAGGGTAATTAATTGGCCGGTTAGCAACATCACCTGTACAGCCGGGGATGTTTCGGCTGTGCTGAGCTGCCAGGGGCACGCTCTGCGATGGCCGGCTGCGGTCCGTCGGCTGGAAAGGGCCGCCCCCATGGGGCACCAGCACACCCTCATCAACCAGCAGAGCCTCAGCAAGCTGCCTTGTGCCACCAGCACCACCAGCACAAAAAGGACCTCCGGGCATTGCCCCCCAGCTGTCTTTGCCATGCCTGGAGGTACTTCACTGGGACACAGACTTGTTCCAAAAAGTAAGAGCTCTTTGCATCTCCATGCTCTTTTAGGTTAGCAACCAGTTGTAATTACCAACACCTGATATGCAAAGACACCTTAAAAGTGTAATTGGAAAAATAAAGATGTCATGTTCTTCTGCAATAGAAGGTAACACATGACGGTGTATGGCCAAGCCATTAAAATGCAGCTCTTCCAAGGTTTTGCTCTAAGGACAGAGAGAAAGAAACACAGTGGGTAAGAACAATTACAGTATCGCGGATCGGGCTGTGGCTTAGGTTCCTGAGGACCAGGAAGAAAGAAGAAACAGCCACTGCTCAGTGCCATGCTCAAAGCGCTGGGGAAGGCAGTGGAAGGAGATCTCTTGCACAGAGGTGGAGGAGACAGCGTGGGTGAAGCAAAGGCAGCTCGCTGAGCCACGGGGAAACGCTCTCTTTTCCTCATGGAAAACCCCTGTGCTTCCGCTCCATGCAATGGGACTTCGGAAATCAAAATAAGCCACAAGCATGATGCTCCATAGATTACTTTTAAAAATCTTTTTAATGAAGAAATAATTCCATTCCAAAATATAGACACACAATTAAATAGTTTAATCACTTCAAAATATAACATGTCCCCAGTAGGTTCCAACACACACACACACAAAACAATACTTAACAGCAATACAAAAAACCCATACAATAGCAGTTCTGTTACAATACCAATGAATATCGTGACATCTTTAGTGTCTCTGTATCTGTCTCAAGTGGCGTCAAGTACAGTAGTTTCAAAAATGTCTTACGGTTAGTAGCCTCAAGATGTAACTCTTCATACAGGTGGGGTTTGTTTTTTTTTTTTTTTTTGGTTCAAGGTAAAAATGCCCTTTTGTCTTCAGGACACAGTGGAGTGCTTGTTGTTCACAGCTCCGTCTGCTGAATTGAACCAAGGTGATTACAGCAACCCGAGGTTGCAATATTTACAAGGTCTATCTACAGTAATTGCCAAGAACCAATAAGGATGGGAGAAGATGGCTGAAAGTAAAGGTGGACACACTTATGATAAATTATGATGCAACAATTTGGCTCATGCATATAAGAAAATACATATTATATCACAACAAAGGCCACACACCTTTTTATGCAGTTTAGTTAACATTACTACTTACAGACAACCCATTCTCCACCTTCGCTTTGGACATTCGAGGACCCTATACATCTTCACATCCCTGTCTCCTGATTCCAAACCACTGGTTTCCCTCCAGTGACAGTAAAACCACCCGGAGTTTTGACTGCTGTGGTGGGCCATTGGTAGTTAAGAAAAGGCCCACGCCAGGGACCTCTTCTGTAACTCTGTTTTAATGACCGCAAACCACAACCAAAATAATATTCAACAAGCAGACAAAGACCAGCTGGGCGAAAACGCAGCCAGCTTAACAGTTGGAAAATGCTTAAAATAGATATTTGGAGAGCCAAGTAAGAGGTGCTTCATCCAGAGCCCCAGGGTGTAAGGGACCCAGAGCTCTGCTGGGGATCACCTTGTTGACACCAGCCTGAGAGAAAGGCGCTTGATCCGGCAACTTTTTTCCTTACTCCTAGTCCGGAAAGCCCTTGCAATGGATCTATTCTATTGCATCTATTTTAAGCATGGCAATAATGAGCACGCAGACATTAAGATGATGGGAAGGATCTATTACTGTGGGTACGGTTAAACATGACATGGGTTGAATTAGTCAGCCATTGCATGTAGCTGCGTTCTAGCTTGTTTTCTCTCTGTTCAGGAAATGCTTGTCTGGAATCCTGAGCTGACAGCAAACATCTACAGCTTCACTGGAGTAGCTTTAAAGGTGGAGCGCTAGGCACTAGTGGAGGCTCACCCATTCCTGAGAGGAGGTTGGAGGAGGGGGCATCGGAGGATATGGTGCCTGCCTTGCCAGGACAGCACATACCCCAGGAGCAAAGACCAGTGATTGCAAAAATGAAAAGCGTGCGTGAAGATATCTGCATGCCTTAGTATGCATTTGGATGTCTGAGACCAAGCCCAGATATGCAAGGAGATGCGGACAAGCGATCTGCATACGCAATAACACAACATGAAAGTGAAAAATGGCAGCAGCTCTTTCATACGGATGCTCATTCCCTAACACACAGCGCCCAGGGAAACAGCCACGAGCCTAGAGAGTGCATGCAAACAAGTGGACTTACACAGCAATCTCACGTTAACAGGGCAGCGCACACCCACGTCACCGTGAAAGCGAGGACAGACAACCCATGCTGACCTGCTTCAGACGGGTCTCTCATCACTTGCTGTAGGCAAACTCTGCTGGTGTGACATATCTGTATGAAACGCTGCCGTTGGCAGGGCTGTTAGACGGTGTCGCTTCGGGTCAGCCAGATCCCGGAAGCCGAAATATCGTATTAGGGCAGCCCAATTACGCCAGCGCAGAGGTCGCCCTGCGCTAGCACGCCGCGCTTCTCAGGAGAGGGCCGTGCGGCCAGCACGTCCCATTGCACTGGGCTACTGCCCGGCTGCTGGCCCACCCGTGCCTGGCCGGGCTCTGACTTCTCTGCGCGGCACTGCCCTGCGCCTGACAGGCGTCACCTTTATTCCCAAGCAAGACGCTGGGGGGAGGACGTTCCAGCGAGTCGGTGTCGGTCCCTGCTCAGGAGTATCTGTAGGTTTGTGGTCAGAGCAGAGCAAACCCTTTTTCTAGTCTCGCTGCCTAATCCAAAATGGCCAGGTAAGTCCCTATTCTCCCGAAATGCCTCTATACTCGAAAAATACTAAATTGGACAAAACTCCAATTCTGTAACTCTATGCCTGTCCTTTCGAAAAAAATCCACCGCTTCTCTTGTGCTTTTCACTGATAGCTATTTCTCCATCCAGCTCCGAAAGAGTCTCACCACACATTTCCAAGAGTGCATGCAGAACATCTGGTGGCTGGCTAAGGCAATACACATTCGGAAATAAAAAGAAAACAGTTGCAAGCGCACTTTAAGCCTGTACATTTAAAGCTGAAGGCCTCGAAAAAAACATAAGGGGGGGTGGGGGGGTAGGAGGAGGGGCAGAGAGATGGAAAGAGCCGGTTTGTTGGACACATGCTTACTAAAGCTAAAACATCGATGAAACAATACCATGGAGGATTATACGTAACATCAGTCAGTTCAGGGATCTTATGGCACCTGTGGTTTATAAACAGCTTTAGCAACGAGTATTTCAAAACATAGTTCACAGTTTTAAGAAGATCTGTGCTGATTTAAAAACCCTGGAAAAAAACAAAAGGGGGGGTGGGGGGGTAGGAGGAGGGGCAGAGAGATGGAAAGAGCCGGTTTGTTGGACACATGCTTACTAAAGCTAAAACATCGATGAAACAATACCATGGAGGATTATACGTAACATCAGTCAGTTCAGGGATCTTATGGCACCTGTGGTTTATAAACAGCTTTAGCAACGAGTATTTCAAAACATAGTTCACAGTTTTAAGAAGATCTGTGCTGATTTAAAAACTAGATTCTATATCATTTGAATGTCACCTTTTGTATATGATATCTATTTGGAAAAAAAATATTTACACTAACTTCTATGGCTGATTGGTTAGATTATTTTGAAAGAAACATTCCTAAGTTACACATTAGCCCTAAATTAGAGAGGTTTTTTATTATTATTATTATTAATTATATTATTATTATTTTAGTACATTTTGCAGAAGTCTTAATTTAAAGACTTGCAAACAAATTGCAAATATAATCTGGTACTTTGTTTTTTGGGCTATTAGATATATACACTCAGGAGTATAATCACTCAGTGTTAAATGCATAATTGTAGCCTTTTATTTCTTCTGTGGAAAAAAATGTACAGTGTATAGTAAACCGATCTACTAAAATCTCAAAGTATTCAGAAATCAAATTTCTATCTATAAACAGTATTGTCATTGTAAACTGAACAGGTTCAATATCATGTGCAAAGGGTTTACGTGAGTTATTAATACCGCCATCCTTTGTCACAGCGGTACGTACGTCAGTCTGTTTTCGTCACCAGTGATGAGCCATGTTACAGAAGATGTAGCTAATATAAGTTAGCTTTAAACAAAAGTCTTGTTGTCAAAAACACACATCTACAAACTACAACTCTTAGAACAAAAGTACTGTGCTACAGTCCTCAGAACTTAGTTAAGGGATTGTTTTGTCAAGAGACGCTGCACCTCTTGGTTCCACTCTTCTGTGAAGTTTGCAGCCGAGTTTTCTTCATCGTCTGTCCGCAAGTAGCTCTCCTCGTCATCAGTTCTTACGTAGCTTTCGTTGTCTGTCTGACTGCAGCTTGCCTGTTGGGAAAGGTTTAGGGAAGGCTTTTAAAAGGAGCGCTGGTTCAAGACTTCTTGCTCTGCACAAAGGCAGAGCAAGTGAAGCCTCTGCCTCCTGCTTTCTTGAGAGAAAAAAAAGAGGAGCTGGCCAGTCCCTGGGGTTATCCCTGAAAAAGCAAAAAAAGTGAAAAAACCATCCCACCCAGGTGAGCCATCGGTATCTGAGCTGTAAACAGAAACTGACTGGGCGCTCGGGAAGTTGGGAACTCTTCTTCCCACGGGTGAGAAGGCTGTTGCCCGCTCTGCTGTGGGACCCTGGGGTAACTGGGTCTGCGCTGACACAGAGGCGCAGAGGTCCCCACTTTCCCTTCCATTTTACCCTTCCAGGTTGCTCTATAAAGAGATTGTTGGTAGCAAAACCACGGATTATTGCCCTTGTGCCCAGTGGTCAGTCACCCAGTTAAGAGTCACCGTCAGGAGCCCCCCCGGCCCCGTGTAAATGTCTTACCCTTAATTTACATGCTCGAGTGCATTTCCCTATGGCTAAAAAGAAATGCAGTTACTTAAAAGGATGATTCCGGCTGCTATAGCTTGTAAACAGCCTAATCTGCTGGTGCACCAATTTCTCCGTGGTGCTCCTCCGCATCCCAAAGCATCAATAAGTATCTTAACTTCCTGTATGGGAGGCATCAAAGTTTTAGGTGGTAATGGAAAATGCACGATTGCTGCTCTTTCTCAGAACTATGTCAGGATCTACAGCTGGGTAAGATTACAAATTTCTGGCGTGTTTATCGTAAAGGCACTGTTTATACACTTGACTCCTTCAAAGTCGAGAAGCTCATCCTTTTTCTCTTGAACTACCTCAGACAGAAACCCAGTTTGCATTACATGGGATCTGATAATAACGGCATAAAAGACCAAATCCTACTGACATGAGTTCTTTTCTACTCGTTTCGGGCAGAAGGCTGGTCTACAAAATGAGAGATGAAATGCAAATTACTTCAGCAAAAAAGAGTTAAATTAAAGCTGATGAATGAAGAAAGGTCAGGTAGTTTAGCTTGCTGCTTCTCCTTCCTGGCACCACTTGATTGTATTAATTATTCAAGCACAAACACTTCCATCCGATTCCTTAATATCTAAGCATGCTGAATGGTACGATGATCTTAATTTAGTACCTCCTTGTGTCAGGCAGTTACAAAAGACCTAGCATTAACATTTTGTTGATAAAAGGAAAGGAAACTTGCACTGCAAGTCTAATGAGAGGTTCCCAAAAAATTTCTGAGGTACAAATTTAAATGAGTGCTTTTAAAAAATCAGACCTGCATCTGCACCGCTTAAGCCTGCAAACTAATTTGGAAATCAGAGTAAAGCAACATTTTGCTCTTCACAGTTCAGCCAAAAAATGGAAACGAAAGGCATGGAAGAGGTCTGTTCTTAGCCGCCTGAGACTGATTTTTATTGAACCAGTTCCAGGGTTGTGTAAATCTAGGTACATCTCATATTTCTTGATGGTATTAATATAAACCACAAGAGCAAAGTAAGAGTGGCTTGTGAAACACTGGATACATTAAGATGCAGTGATGGTACTGCTAAGTATTTGGGTTTGCTTTGAATTTCATGGATCAACTACTTCACTTTGTTGGGAGTGCAGTGAGGTTATTCTAAATTCTCTCAAGGCTTCTCTCTGTTCCACAGCCAGCAGTGGGATAGAGAGATTTTCGTACAAGAAATAATGAGTACTAATGAACCTCAGAGCTCAAAATTCGAATTGCAGCATTTTGGAAATGCCAGAATTAATTCCAAGTTAAGACTCATATGATTTGTCACATTATAAAACTGTTTTGCAACCTTTTCTATAACTTAATCTGCGGGTTCTTTTCTGTTATTTATCATTCAGCGATTTTGAAAAACTGTCCCTATCACTTGTGTAATTTTAGAATTAAATTCACAAAACTAAAGCTGCTTCTTCCCCGTTAATTCGGTCACAGTTCTTTTGCAGCTTTTTTTACGCCTACATGCTAAGAGGAGGAGGACTTAAGGAGAAAAATAAAGAGGAAAACCAAAATATAGCTGAGTGAATGTAGCAGACGTTTTTGAAAATTACTGTGCTGTCAGCCTGCTGTTATTTTCAAATGGAACGGTCCACACAATGCTGGTTTTTATGTTTTTGTTCAGAGGAAACCAAAAAGAGACGCTGAATCATTGTGCTAGTAGAGTATGACTTGTGGATGTGAGCAGTTCATCATCTAGCACCAGTATCCTGCTGCTTCACCACCGCTGGTTTAGGAGGAACAGGCTGAAGAAACTGGGCTTGCTGATGCTGGGGCAGAGGTGGCAAGGGAGGACCAGTTAGCAGCTATTTGAGAGGGTAGTTACAAGGATAACGAAGCCAAAATCTTCTTGGCAGTGCTGAAGCACACAAATAAGGACAAATTGCATTTTGGGAGCTTCAGGTTGGACATTAGGTTAAAAAAAAACAACGAGGAGGGTGGCACTGCAATGGAGGGAGATGCCCAGAGAGGTGGTGAAATTTCCATCCGTGGAGGTTTTAAAGTCTTTGCTCGACAAAGCCAAGGCTGACATGGTCTTGTGCTGGAGCTAGACCTGTGTCAGATGAGTGACTGGACCAGACGACCTCCCAGGGGTCCAACCAACCAACACACCCACACTTCCGTGATCTCCTGGCATGAAGCCCATGTGAGGACTGAACCACAGTGCACGAGCTTTAAATGCGGCCAGTCAACTCTGACCAGCAGTGTTCGGGACCCTGCGGCGGAAGAGAGGCCAGGGCACTGCTGGGAAATGTGACCTCAGGCAGTGGGCACGGCAAATCTGAAACCCACACATCCATTAACTGTGGGCTAGCAACCTGGCTTGGGCCCTGGGCTACGGATCCCGCATCCCATCTTTCTCAAAGAGTAAATGGCCAGGTCTACATCGCAAAGGGCTGAAAATGTCAATGGCCAGTGAAATGCACACTAGCTCTAAGATCTTATTTCTTTCCCAGAAAAAAACCCAGAGATGCAGGGCAGCTTTGTCTCCACAGCATTTAAACAAATTGTCTGTGCCCTTCGGCTTAACCAACAGCCCTTCTCATAGCGGCACACTGCGCAGACTGGACTGATCACACCATCCCCCTTGGTCCATGGGTTTTATCACCTGACATTTGGCAATATTCCTTATCTTTGCTGGTAAACATGAAAACAGAGTTTGGAGAAAAAGGGAAAAGATGAGAAAACAAGAAAGTGTTACTCAATAAGACTTCTGTCCCAGAAGCAACACCCAAGTTGAATATGTAATAATTTAACAATGCATTCATGTCAAAAAGATTTGGGAGCTTTTGTGTTTGAAAAATTCCCACCATACAAACCGCTCAGTCACTTTTGCATGGAAAATGTCAACCCTGGCCACCCAAAGCCCCAGAACGCACAATTTGTGTGATAAGATTTAGAGCAAGTGGTTTGGAGAGGGAATGGAACTGAGTCTTCAACTTAAATTATGACCTGTTCTTGTCAGCACAGAGCAAATGCGATCACAGTTAAAAAATCAAGAACAAAACCTCTAAAATAAAGACTCTTCCCTGTACTCCTTCTCAAGTGAATGCTCTAGGTCTGATTTTTATTAGCTTTTCATGCCTCCTTTTCTGTTATAATATTGCATATAAATGAGCTAGACATGACCAACTAAAATGTTGCTATGCCAGCACTTAGAAAGCATTGCTTTAGAAAATCTAGGAACTTGTAGGTCTGGTGGCAATACGTCCACTGCAGAAGTCAACAGCTCTTCATTGAAAATGACAACTTTTTAAGCACTTTCAGAGACGGAGGCTTTCTGCTCCCATTGGCCATCCTTGACAAAAAAGCAACTGCTATCAGGGGGATAAAGGCAAAATAATGTCAAAGTTGCACATTCACCTAATTTCAAGATCTGCCCAGAGCCTGCTGAAAATGAGCTCAAATTCACTCTGTTACTCTATTAAAAATAAAACAAGTGGTATTAAAGTATATTTAATATAAAAAGTAAACTGAAAACATGATTAAAATATATTTTATATATTACTGGAACCACTTGGTCACTTGGCAATTTGTTGTATTAGACGTTATTTCAAAATGAATTCTAGAGAATTGCACATAAAATAGCACTTTTAAAAATGCAAATAGAATGCGAAAAGCCTTGATCAAATGACATCGACACCATTTGTCCATGACTGATGAATGAGGAAATGAACAAAACTCTGTGGCTGGCCATCAGTGGCCATATCACTCATAAGAAGCTATAATAAACTGATTCTATTTTCCCCATCTTTTTAAAAATAAGCACAAATGTAATACTGACTGTATTTGTATCATCACTGATTGAATATATTATCTTAGAAGCAAAAGTCTTAATGCAATTGCTAAGCTTCAAGGAAAAACCCAACATAAAGAGCAAAAGCACTTTAGACATGGTGACTGGTATGAACAATTTTGGACTTAATTTTCCAAGGCTATGAAATATTGCTACCAAAGCCAACGCACAAAATACTTTAATCTTCCATATTCACAAAAGAGTGGATCTTGAGAAGACTTAAGCTACACTTACCGTGTGCAGATGCATTTATCACAATGTACCATAACACAGAGTTTGGGTTTGTGGATGTAGGTGAAGTGCCAAGTTCACTGATTTTTGGTGCTAATTTCTGTAGGGCCGGGCTTTTGCAGCTGGTGGGGATGTTTCAGTCTTTGGTACTGGCTGAAGTGCTCCCCTGGGAGCTAAAAAGAGTTTCACTATGGAATTAACCAGGGCACAGTGAGTAAAAATTAGTCTTTTTGACAGGGTCTCAAAAGGTTTCAAAAGCAGCCAGGAGATGAGATAGCTCAGTCTCTGCCAATTTGAGACAGGAAACGTATTTTCAAGAAAGCTAGGCTGTACGGCACTATGCGTTTCCCCACATCAGTATGTTAACACTGCTTCCTAACAAAAGCAGAAACCTTAAATGGGATTGCCTGAGCTTTATAATTCTAAGGAAAAGGACTTTTTTCCACTTAATATTGCAAATGGGTCGTCTGAATGCTACTGTGCTTTTAAGTCATAGTTATTCATAACTGTAATTAAATTCAGTTATGTATAACATTTCCACTGTACACACAGTTATGCACACATAGCTTGTTGTTGGAAGATCTATTTTTCTTTTCAAGTGACCTGATCTATACCTGACAACTGCAACAAAACAGAAGAAGAAAACTTATTTTTCTGGCTGTCAATGTTTAGGAAACTCTACACGGCTCATGTTTTTAACAAAGCTACCGAGAAAATGAATGTAACCTGAGGGGCAATGTTAGGAGAATTTTTATGAGCAGTTATTTGGTGTTTATAGCACTCTGGGTACTGCCGGTTATTTGCTTTTCACATCCATTTATTCTGCTTTAGCTGCCAGAGACACTGAGACAGATGCTTCAGAAATACCTTTTAACACTGAAGACTGGCAGCTGCTTTCACAGGGTCCACGCTTCAACATCCACACTCCACTGTCGTCAGAAGTTGCAAAGCCCTTGGATCAGGGTCAAATTTTGCCATCAAAATTGCCATATAAATAAGGAAGTCTAGCATAAAACACGGCATACAAAATCCAGAATTCTTTTTTTTTGAAGTTGGCACAGGATCACTGGTTTTGCTTATCTGAACATGACCCTGCTCCCAACCTGAAATGCCCATTTGATAGTTGACCCGTGGTTGCCTTCAGTCTGGGGTTTGAGGAAGAGACTCAGTTTGCAGACAGGCCTTCTTTTGATTTGTCCTCCCTTTCTGGCCCTGCTACCCCATGGTTCAGTGTCACAGTAGGATGGACGGCATCGTCTCACTGTCATCTTCACAGCAGGGCACTGCACTCTGCTGGGAAGTCAGAAACGCTGTCAGTCTGCAGCTTCAGATGAGGCAAGAAGGAAATGTGTGGTCTGCCATTTCCTGGGCAAATGTTCAGAACAACAGCCTACTTCATAAAAATAGCCATTGTCTGTGTTCCTGAAGAAAAACACAGTTGCTGAACTTGGCGTTAAACTCAGTGCTGCAACTGTGAGGCTGGCACGTGTAAGGAACATGACCTGAATATGGGGCAGCAGGGAATTTATGGACCTTCTTGCCTTCTCTCTGAATTGCCAGACTCTAGCTAGCAGCTGAGTACCTTGCACTTCGGATTGGGGCATTTGAAACCTCCATATCACATCTGAAGACACCTCTGTGGTTAAGCAGCTGGTGGATTGCTTTCTTTAATGTTTGCCTAACTCCTGTTTCAAGATATAAATTAAAAAGAAATCCAACATCCACACTAAAGTAGATGTTCCGGTCTCACCAGAAATGTTTTATTTCAGTTATCCTAGGAAGACTAAAGAATTGTAGGGAATTTAACTCAGGTCTCCTGAAATGTAATCTGATTCTTTATCTTCCGGATAAGGTTTCTCTGCACTGGCTAATATATTTGTCATCATCCTCAGGGAAGAAAAGCCCACATTCTCACTCTTACGGTCAACAAAGGAAGAAGATAAAAAGGGTGGTGGCTTAACAGGAATCCTCAGGATTAGGACCATAGTTCAAACAGATAATTAGAAATGATTTAGAGATGTTCCTAGGCATCCTAACATGCGTTAAAAGAAAGCAACAGCATCTTCACATACACTCAGGCAGCACAAGGTGCATTGCAACTGAAACGCATTATGAGGATTCATTCCAAACATTCTTCTAAATTATAACGATACTTACTTGAGAGGAGAGAGAGAAGGATATTGCACTCAACTTTGCAAACTGACCTGTAGATAACAAAGGATAGAAAACAAGAAAATGACACATTAAGCTAGTGAGCAGCCAGGCAGTGTATTATTCTGAAGAAAGCCATGCACAAGCCTAGAAATAAAGGGAGCGATTATGGACCCAGAAAATAAACCCAATGAAAAGTGTCTTACGCAACACATCCAGCAAAAGACTGTAACAAGAACACAACTGGCAGCAGATGTGGAAGCATAAGCACTGTTAGCATTTACACTTGTGCACTAAACGTGTTTTTTTCTGGTACAGATATTTGTTATGTACAACATGCTTCAAAAAAAGAGATATAAAGAAGCCTCCTTTGAGGTTCCCTGTCCTATATTTCCTGGTGTATCTTGGGTATTCTGCTTACACTTTAATACTAATTTAGAGTTTAGCTTGAAAATCTTGCTCGGAGACAAGGTGACAAGAAATAACAAGAGTGGGTTTTGACCAACCATCTCCCATGCTACACAACATCTACACGTTTTTCTAAATGTGCTGCTTTTACACAAAGTGAGACATTTAATAACATAAAAATGGTTACCATATTGTTACTGAGGTTACCATTCTGTAACCTTAGTAGGAGTTCCTCCTCGTGGATTTTTTCAGCTGACAATTGCATTATGATAGCTACAGCCACCAGCTTTTTTTGGCTATCCAGATGAATGCAGTGTACATGTGAGTACAAATAGTAAGATAGCCTGTAATAAATTCCAACGGTTGGATGCAAAATGAGAATAGTTGACCTGGCCACTGTTCAATAGGATACCCTAAACAGAAATTTCCCAATTTTCCTTTGTTTTGGCAAGTAGAAGGAAAGTTGTGGCTTTATCTTTAGAGACTACTCAGTGACTCTAGTAGAAAAAGGAAGAGAACAGCAAAATACCACGAACTAACTGCAAAGTGCAGAGAACGAGCCAAAGCCAAAGCACATGTCTCAGGATCAATACATGACACTATTCAACCATTTCCTAATCAGCCTAGTGGTCCCTACTAACTTAATACCTATTCTTGCTTGCTTTAAAACCGTTCCCTAATTGAAAGGGCATCAGCCACACTGGGAAGGACTTCTCATACTTTGCATGCTTTGGGCCTGTGGTTATCAACTAAAAATAGTTTCTACTTAGAAGTCACTGCTTCCAAATCATTGCCTCATAGGAGCTGAGAATCTCACAGGTTTCTGTAAAGGAAACATCACAAAATTTCTTTTGGAAAAATGCTATTAAACAGAACTTACCTAGAATGAGGACTTTCTCTTCCCTCAGTGAATACATTTTTGAAAGAAAAAAGCCTTTTTCTTTTTCTGGTTTTGGGTTTGTTTTTTTCACCAGTGATAGGGAGAAGATTTCCTCCCCTTCTTCAGGGAATATTCTTGGAAGACAGTAGAAAAGCACTATTCTGACTGAAGCAAGAGTAACACTCAGCTCTGCTGAGTGACATGTATAAGTTCTACTGCACAGTGAATGCCCTTATTTTGCAGTGCACTTGCATACTCAATTTTCTGCATGTACAAAATCCTGTTGTAACTTGTGAAACTCAAGGAACACTGTTGCCATATATTGCACTTCCATACTGTCATCAAAGTACAGTCAAATTGGTCTACCCTTTCTGGAGAAAATGGATTTTTTACCAGCAATAATAACATTTATTATGCGATGCTTCACATTTATTATGCTCAGCTGTCACCGCTGAGGTACTCCTTCTTTCTAACTAACAATTACTTTCCATTACATCAGCAGTAGCTGCTCACCCTGTTCATTCCTATCTTGGATAAAAAACTGTGACAAAAACCCCCATGTCACCCACTGTTGCTTTAGTCGAGAGTCTATAACAAATCTGCTCCTGTCGTCATGTCCTTAAAGACCTTCACAGTGAAATGACTTTTGGCAGGCTACCAGGGGCATGTTGCAGACCTAAGTAAACATCAACCTCAAAACTACCTGTGATTTTGACAAGAGTCACTGAACTTTTACAAGACTAAATTATCCTAGCAGCTTTACAGAAAAGCAGACCAAAAAAGCAGCCATACTTCATTAGATCACGAGCCTGTCAGTCCCAGGTTCTTGTCTCCAAAGTGACTAGCAGTGGACACTAGAGAAAAACTACCAGAAAAAAATACTAGATTTTATTAGCTCCCAGCAATCAGCAGTTTAAATAAATCCTGCCTAGAAGGTGCTTTTGAACCTCATTTCCATACACCTGATCTCTCACTACCTGCTTAACCCTTTTTTTTTTCCCATTTATACTTTTGGTCTCTGTTATACCCTGTAGTGGTGAGTTCCAAAGTTTAACTGATCACCATGTGGGAAAATAGTTATTTTTGCTTGCTTCAGGTGTGCTCCCAAACAACTGAACTGGGTGAGCTGTCCTGACATCACTACCAACATTGTAAGAAGTAATGAATTTTATATTAGGATGATCCAAGTCAGATTAATTTAAAAACTGGTGATAATCCATTACACCAGGTAGAAGTGGTGACCATTATGTAGACAGGACAGGATATCTACAGAATTTCAGCTTCCCCCGGCAAACTTACTTTACTCAGAATCTTAAACAAACACCCTTTGAAAACTTCCTCAGGGGGTGTTTTATGACAAATCTGCAGGCTTCTCTATACTAGATGCTTGTTGAATACTTGGTCCTCTGGAATACAATTCATTTCAGACCCTTTCCTCTCCTTCCAGATTCTGACAATGACAGTAACACACAGACTGCACTCGAGCTTCAGTTCACACCGGAGAAACCGTTATGAATGTTTTTCGCTACTGGAGGAAAAAAAATAACCTAAATATAGCAAGAACTGAGCTTGACACCACCAACCAGCCTCTATAGTACAGGGGAATGAGGTCTAAGTGACTTGGTAGGCACCAGCAGAGAGCAAGCTCAGAGGCAATTCTGTCCCACCTGGTGCCCTGGTAAACTTAAGGACTACTGTTGTGTGTCTCAGGCAGTGTGGTCTTCCTGGATATGCACAAAGGCTAGATGCCTTCGTGTCTCTGGAAGAGAACAACAGCAGTTTTTGGAATGTGGCTGCTCTAGTAACTGAGACAAGATCACACCCCAGGGCCCAGGACAGGTTAAGAAGGGCACTGGGCAGCTATGGTGCATTATTGTTTCTCACTTATGGAGATGTATGGGCAGCTGGTGTCCTTCTCCCACCTGGTATGCCTCATCCTGCAGCTTCTGCTTCAGGTACTCCTCCATTTTCAGTTCGTTCTCCAGCTGGCGGACAGAGTCATTTTCATAATTTTCATCATCTGCTCTGACATAGGGGTCTCCATCTTCTGTAACCCTAAAGACAATCATTAATAAATAGCCTCCTGAGATGAATGACATTCAGAGTCAATAAAACTTCCCTTTCTTGTAAGCTATGAGGAGAGGGGGGTACTTTTAGACCAAGCACATGCTCCATTGGTTAGTATTTTCCTGGCAGTGGAAAACACTTCTGCTATTTCCCCTCTCCAGTGGTCTGGTATTGAAGTAAACCAAAGGACATAATCTGCTGAAGGCATTTTGGGGGCTCAGCCCTACGGAAATGGGTAACAAAAGTTCTCAATAACTTGATACAAAGATGTTGAACTAAAAATAACCTGGCAGTGGAAAACACTTCTGCTATTTCCCCTCTTCAGTGGTCTGGTATTGAAGTAAACCAAAGGGCATAATCTGCCGAAGGCATTTTGGGGCTCAGCCCTATGGAAATGAGTAACAAAAGTTCTCAATAACTTGATACAAAGGTGTTGAACTAAAAATAACTGGAAAGATGCCTATTGTCTTTGAGAGGAAGATTCGGGTTCTAAAAATAAAGCGGTCTGTTGACCAACTGAATTGGTCAAAAAAAAGCATTCTGTCTTTTCCATTTAACACCTTCTCTTTTTCCAGTGGGCTCCAACGGGCCCCTCAGTCTGGATAAGCAGGGAATAGGACTGCGGGGCACATTAGGGAACACAGCTGTCCCACAGCCACCACGCTGCCCGAGTGTACCAGACTGGATGCGAGACAGATCGCTCCTGAAGGCATCCTAAGTTCTGGCCTTTATTACTTACAGTGCTCACTACCGTCTAACCATGAAGCTGTCCTCACTTGGATTTAGGCATTTTTTTGTTTTGGTAACGAAACAGTTCAGAGGGAGAGAAAATATTACAGGCTGCATATAGTTTTCAACAGAAGAAGAGTGGAATGAAGAGGGCGAACCAAGCAGGTACCCACATGTCGCTGCGGATGGAGCCGGTGGCAGCAGGGCTGTGGATGTAGCCTGGCTTCCGGGCGTGGATCTGCGCGAGGAAAGCCTTCTCAGACGTTGGGGACGGAACAAGGTCATCAAAATGAGTCCGTCCAAATTCAGAATCCACATTGCTTTCTGTCTCGCTGCCCACTTCTGTGAGGCAAAAAGGTGACACATGGTTCCATTTAACTTTCACAAGAGTAAGTATACTTGCCTCTATTATTCCTCTAAGCATTTCTCTGCTTTTCCAGCTTAGAATGCCACCTCCTCATAGTGAATAACAGTATAATATTCTACATATATCTGCAGAGCTTATAGTTTTTTGTTCTTGTGGTGGGACAGAATAGGGAAGCTTTTGCTTATCTTGCTTATTAAGGATATTTTAACGAATCATAGAATCGTTTAGGTTGGAAAAGACCTTTAAGATCATGAAGTCCAACCATTAACCTAGCACTAAACCATGTCCCTAAGCACCTCGTCTGCCCGTCTTTTAAATACCTCCAGGGATGGGGACTCGACCACCTCCCTGGGCAGCCTGTTCCAATGCTTGAGAGATAGACACTACAATGAGAACACTACAGACTGCATTTTACAACAGGTTCTGTATCTTCTATAGTGAATGAAATTTCTAAAGAGTGAAATTCCACCCCACGTGGAATCACAAACAAACTTCTCAAAGTTTTCACTGTATCCAGTTGCACCTCTATGTCCATGGCTTTCAGAACTGCTGTATTCTGAAGCTTTTATTTAGGGACTTTTTTTTTTCTAAAAGCATAAAAAACTTTGGAGATAACATTACACTGGTTTATATTTTCCTACCCCCCATTTTTTCAAAGATATGTGAAATGTCAGTGTGGTGACTATCCACACTCATTAGCCTCACTCACCAGAATTTAGTTCTTTTACCAAAGACGACATGGTGTTGGTGATTGAATCCGCTGCCACCAGCAAATCATTTCTTAAGTTTCGCCTTGCACCTGAAGCAAGAGACAAAGCACAGTGTTACTATTCTTCACAAGACATACGTTTTCCCGTTGAAAGCAGTTTTAACCGCACTGAAAGCTGCCATTGTGGTAACTCAGGGTATCAAAGTCCTTACGAGGGACACGTGCAGAAGAGTTCTCTGCAGAATGGCCTCATTTGCTTATGCTGCATGCAAGAGCAGAAGCCTATCCTCATGCTTCATTTAATCACAATGCCAGATACGTGGAGATTATTCATTGCCCATCAAGCTTGCATTCGTGTGGTGACACCAGCAGACCAGGCCCGGAAGATTAAATCCAGTGTGAACTCATTTACAGTGTCTGTGGGGGAGGAGGGAAGAAATGAAGTGTTTTCTCTAAGTTCCCACAGCTCTGTTTAATGACACCATTATTGCCAGGTATTTGCCAGATAATTATGGCAAATGTTGAAGAAACATACTCGACCTCATCAAGACTGATAGGGATTTTTCTTCTCTGTTCCCTCTCAGCCTTTCCTGTAGCTCAAGGACTTTCTTGTATATTCCATAATTTACTTTTTTTTTTTCCTCTCTCTCTCATTTTTTTTTTTAAATAAAGGAAGCACTACTGTCTCTCTAAACAGCCCCAGGCTCCTTTTAAACTCTTTCTAATAATGAATCTAGAAGTGCTTCCCTGCTGAACCTGGCAATATTCCCTTAACCATCAATCACAAAAGATTCTTGTGAGCTGCATGAAATACTCCTTCCCTAGGAGCAGGCTGTGGGTAACGCCTACTTAATTCCCCCCAAACCCAAACATAGCTCCTAATGTAGCTGAATAATCAATATATCCCACAGAATCTCTAATCTTCCAGACTGGATTATTCACAGGAATTGGCAGGATTTGACTGCTGTAGATGCTTTAAAACTGGCTGAATGTAAACCAATACATTTTAAGAAGTTCCCCAAATCCTAAGGTGTTTTTTTTTTTTTTTAATATATCCTGCAGCAAATGGTTACTGGAATGTAAATTAAAGCAGTTAATCTCTCACACACACAAACACTCAGACAGCCACTCCCTCTCTAAAGTTTTCTCAGTTTTGTATCTCTGAACTATTGCAAACACTATGAAAGAGAAAAAAAAAAAACCAAACCAAGAAAAACTGTGGTTTAACCATAGCTTGTCTGCATTATGTACACATAGGCAGATCTCTGTTGGTGCAGCACAGAATGGAGTTGTAAAATCTCAGCCCCCCCCTCCCAAAATCATACATCAAGATGTGACAGAACGGCTGGCTTCAAGTTCTTTGGGTTTGACCTTCCCATCTAGAGAATATGGTAAATAATGACATAAGGCTAGATATTTATCAAATGCAGCAGTTTTTAAATGTGATCACTTACCTTTTTATATTGCTTTTTATCTTGAACAGAACACATTTATATACATTAAAAGCATTTGCCTGAGGCAGCCTTAGTATTATTTATGGATATCTTATTGTGGCAACTACATTATTTCTCTTAGTCTTAGCTCTAGAAGACACTGTCCTATAACAGCATAGGGGTTAGTGGTCCATAGTTTTTCCTGTCTCAACGTTTTTTCACAGCAGAAAGAAGAAAAACATATCTTGCCTGTTTCTTTTGCCACAGAAAATAAGATATCCCGCCACCTGTTGTGTTGGGACTAGGAATTATGTCTATGTTCAATACGTGAATTGACTAGCACTTTAGTAGAAAGCTCTTGATTGCATTATAGATTCAACCTTGTCTTAAGATACACACACAGACACAATTGCCATGAAAATCAAGGGGTAGGGTACACGAGAGGGCTGAACAAACACGCTTCCACTGTAGCAGAGGAACTCCAGAACTCTACTTAGATTTGATTTGTACTAGAGAAACAGCGGAAAAAATATTCAAATAAAAGAATTGCAGAGGTGTAAATATTTTAGGAGGGAGCAGATTAGAAAAAGGAGGAGTATTTCTTAATTTAGATCACATAGACTATTTACTTTCTTTAGTATTCAACATAATAATTTAACTTATGGCCTCAGAAACTCAAAACAGTTCAAAATTGTTACTTGACAAAAGAGTGAGTGACATGGTGCAGCCTACGGCAGTTTTCTGGAAATGGAAAGGAAGGGTTCACCTAGACTTCCAGACTCTATTCCTGTCCAGTCTTGCTGGATTCTTCTCAGAAGCCCAAAGCAAAAGAACAAGGGACAACAGTCACAAGTTGCATCAAGGGATGTCCCAATCAGATACAAGGACAAAAAGTCTCTGAGTACCTCAGACAAGTTAGTTGTAAGACTTACTTTGTGCGAAGGCTTCCTGCACATCTCCTCCCACCCCGGTCAGAGAGTCCTGAGGTGCGTGGGTTGGGGTGGAGCAGGCAGAGGCAGACCTGATGGGCATTGGAATCGGTCGACTGATAGTGTGGCTGGGTGAGGAACGTGGGGAGCCTGCCCCTTGGGTCTGCAAAAGAGTCACAAGGGGTTAAACAGGTCTTTGCAAGAGCCCTCGCCTGCTGTCCTTGTCACCCATCCCTCAGCTTAAAGTCATCATGCTGTTTGTACATCAGTTGGGTAATGATAATTTCGCTAAAAGGAATACACTGAAGTCAGTTGTTAACGGACAGCAAGGCTTCCACATAGGAAAATATTAAGTAGGAAAATGTGAGTCAAGATCTGACTTCCTTTAAGCATGGGAAAATGTCAGGCAGCTAAATTAAAAACAAAATCCAAGTTAATAAGCACCGAAGAATAGACCTTCTCTCTGCCCTCTTCCCTCTCTCCCTCCCCCAATTCACACACACATTTGATAAAACATAACCCATTCAGGCTGTGAGAAGGGGGAAGACACTGGCACCGACGTGGCTTTCAGCCTGGGCAAAGGACTTGAAACGGCCCCATCCATCAGAGAGCTGCCGTGAGAGCTGATCGCAGCCCTGCCCTCCGCCTCCCTGCAGGAGCAGTTCATGGAACATCCAACCTCTCAGTCACACAAAGTCCGAGACTCACAATAAATAATATAGCGTTATGCTTTTTTATTCAGAGCTAGAGAACTATTTTAAGCCGCTATTAAATCATACGTTATTAAATTGTTCGCTCTACAGGATAGACTCAGGCACTCCCAAAACGCTGTGGGGATAGGGCAATGTAAATTCCTGCTATGGGTTCAGCCGCTGGAAATGAAAATGTTTTAACACCAGCCATATAAAATGTCATGCTGTTAGCGCCTCACAGTTAGTATCACCTAGCTGAAACTCAAGCAGACTTTACAGAATAGTCATTTTTACAAATGCAGCTGGGGGAGTGATACCAACAGACACACTGCACCTTTTTTTGACTGTTTCAACCCCCGCCAGGGTCGTGTATCGACGTAAGGAAAAACACATGCTGGAGGCCCACACCAAACTGCACATGGCTTTTGAAGGCAAACCCGTGTTTGGTAGATGCCAAGGATGGAGGTGGCTGGAGTGCTGTTAAAGGGGAACTGCAACACACGCGCCTGGTTGTTGTACAGTGAGAAGTACCCTGAGGGCTGGTGTTTCCCTCACCCTGGCTTTATTCTGAGAATTCAGGAGGATTTCTTAACTCTTCCCAAGGCATTTATTTTGACTCCTGTAGTAGCTGCCCTGATATGATTTGGCAAATATGTTCTAAAAGACAGTAGCAGCTGATTGCAGGAGGAGTGCAGCACTGCCCTTGAGATTTTTATAAATTCCTGCCCTGGACCATAAATAATGTATCAGAATACTAAGCTATTTGTTCTTTTCTCCTATCACCCCTTTCTAAGAGACATTATCACCAGAGACACATCAAGGGCAAATTAGGTTTATGAGGAATAAGCACATTACTGATGGGAGAACAGAGGATTTAATACTTGTAATTTCTTTAATGATCGGTTTTAGAACATCTAAATGATGGATGAAAGGGAAGTCGAATATATAAAGGCCAGATGCTCTCCTGTTTCTGGAATCGTCTGTACCCACTCCAGCAGAAATGCAGATCTCTAGTCCTCCAGAGGCAGGGCACAGCGCAACCTGGAGATGCTCCAAGGTCCTTGGAGGTCACACCCCCTGCACATCAGGCAGGGGATCTGGGATCTACAGCTATCTCCTTTCATGCCCTGATGGGGCATGTTTCATCCTCTGTGAAACAAATTTGCAAAAGAATTTCTGGTTCCCAGCTCCCTCTTTTGCTTGCCCTTTTTCCTCAGCTCTCCTTTGCCTTTGATCTTGGTTCTGGGGAACACCAACAACAGTGGGAACTTTCAGAGAAGTTGAGAAAAAAACGGACAAAATTGGCTTCGTATAGTCAAGTCACAGTCAAGGAATGAACTTCAGAATAGGCATTTTATTTACTAAAAATAACAGACGCCTGCCAGTACTTCTTCACTGGAATTTTCCCACAAGAGAAATGTAAAAGCTGCAGCACACCAGTGCTTACCCTTGTGCCTGTTCTGCAGCTATGACTGAGATCTTGTCTTTATGATAAACAGTGCTCTCTTATCTGTAGCTTTCAGCGTTGGAGGGAACTGTTTGGGAAGCACAGGGAGATGAAGCATGTGGAGTTCCTTATCCAGTAAAACCCTCTCTTTTTATACTGTTTGGGCAGTATCAGACAGAACTGACGAACAGCAAGTTGAAACGAGGATATTAGGGAGTGCCTGATTTCAGAGAGGTGAACAGTTTAATTATATTTTATCCACCTAGATCCACCTCAGCCCAAGTTTGTGGGAATAGAGTGCTATTAGGATTCCTGCTTAGTGGTTATCAGGAGAAACGTGGTTTGCTAGATAGAGCGAAGGGCCTGAAACCTGCTACGATAATCAGTAGTGACTTCTTGGTAATCTCAGCAGCGAAATCGAGGACTGAATTGCTCCCAAACCTTGGCAGCCCCACCAGCTGAGGACTAAGGCATGCTGAAAGGGGAGCTACCACAGCCACCGTGGCCACGTGGACGGCTTCGGCTTTTATGTTGTACTTGGTTGCAGCTGTCAATGTTCTCGTGCCTTTTAGGAAAAGTTCTGTGTATTTTATTTAGCTCACCATCCCTAGTCAACCTGCTATGGATTTTAAGCTAACCCTTGCTAGACGGGACAAGATTTCCCACTATCAACTGTCATGTGTGCTTAGGATAAAATACTAGAAATGAAAACTGGCTTTACGGGAGCTTTAGCCCATTGCTCCCTCTGCCGGAACTGAACTGGGATGACATATGGGGAAAGCCTCATCAAAACGATAAGGATGCGAAGAACTCATTATCCTTTCTCAAGGAAAGGGCAGGAGAGAAATAGAAAGTTCATAAGCATTAGACGAATTGCCAGGCTGCTCATTCCAATTGAATTCCTCCAGAAACTAATTTAATCCCGTTTCTCTCAACAGATCATGAAATGGCATAGTGTAATGGGGATCATTTCATGGAAATTGTGAGAGTAATTCCTTAGCGTCATCACCTGGTATTCACTGAGGCTATTACTCTCGGAAGAAAAAAATCATATCTCATAATAGCCTGGAAATGTGCTTCCACTTACACTGCCCATTGAACATTTTATATGGTAGGGAAACTCTTGTCACGTTGGAAACTGCTCTTTTGTGAATGGAAGATCTTTTAATACTGTTATGCAGAATCAAGAAGACAGCCCTTATACGGAGGCGATGTCTGGTCAGATTTTTTTTTTTTGGGTGCAACAGATTGATGCTCTACAAAAGTTAGCCAAAATGTTAGTTTTATGGCACTACCCATCAACTCTGCATGCTCTGCATGCTCTGCCATAGACAGAACACATCAGACTTGTGACTGTACTTCTGCTGATGAAAGCAAGAGGAAGCGTGTTTTTTAAAAATGGAACATTTTTATTGGACTCATAAATCAGATTGCTGTCTGAAAAGTGCCTTTTTTTAGCCTGATATCTTTCGAAGATCCATTTCAATACTAAAAAACTCCAAACCAATTAAATCTTCTAAAATTTATATTCAGTAATATAATACCTGTCCTTTTTGATCTAGGTTGCAGAAGCTATTTAGAAACTACATTATTTTCCTGAAGACTCATGCAACTCTTAGCATCAGTGCTGACTTTAAGATGTGCACACAATGCTCTGACTTTTTCTGGATAAAGTGGGATTTCAAACTCATTGTCCCAGTCTAATTTAAACTCAGTTATATTTTTTTTAAAGTTCCAAAATTCTCATTACATTTTCAAAATGTTATCTATGATAGAAGTGTTCTTTAATTCATATTCTAGGTTGGTTTCACTACAATTCGGTGGTTGTTTCCATATCTTATGTGTTCTTATTTACAAGAGTGAAAAAAAGGTCAAGACTCCTTGTAGCCATGACTCACTTTCTAGAGGGCTAAGATGTCTAATTGTGAAAGTTGCTCCAAGATACTTGAAAATAATGTGTGGAAGAATTGCAAAATATTAATTTTGGTCAAAAGAACAGGCACACATTTCAAGCAAAGGAAGTAAAATAAATCACATGAACACAGTCACATTCAGGAGTTAGTGAGGCCTCCAGCAAGGAGGGAACTTACTACCTGTTTCAATTCTTCTTCCTAAAGAAAAAAGAGGATCAATCAGCACATGATATTAGCCAGGATGTAAGTGAAGAACAGAAAACAAAGCCAAATTGGGAGTACAAGGTCAAAGGCACAGCTGAGATAGTTGAAGGTATGTGACTAGGTTATGGTCCCATCTCTGCCCACTTTGAAACTCCGGAACAGTGCAAAGCGTGCAGAAAGTTACTGTTGCCTCCTACCCCAAATTCTCTGTCCAGGCAGTGCAATGACAGCAGGCAGCCCTGACTGCCAGTTGTAGCACTGCAGAATTTCATAGGTAGAGTGAAAAGTATCCTGTCTACTCCCAGCTCCCAGAAATCTGCTGGCTACTCCCTGGGCTCTGCTGCTCAGGTGCCACCAATTCCTGCATCGGGGCTGCAGAAGCCTGTGCCTGAGGAGCAGCAAATGACATAAGGGTCAAACTCATCCTTTGATGCAAATGCATGTTGCTAAATGGATCTCAGTGATAAGTCTTTCTGCTTTTATCAGAGCTGTATTTGACCCAAGTTGCACTGAATTTCCGCACAATCATTTTATCTGGCTCAGCCAACAACAAAACCGACTCTTATGCTACTGAGAGCACTTTCTTCCAAGTGAATTTCTGGCATCTGTCCTGGGGCACATCAGGTAAAATAGGGCTGGACTCTGCAAATAAAGACACATTTTCCATCTTACACAAGTCTGCCTTAAAAATGCACATGCTTTTTGCCATCTTCATTCTTAACCGAGATCCTCTGATGAGGCATGTTTCATCCATTTAACAAGGATGCTAAATGTTTCTGTATTTTTGAAAATGACCAAGTGTGGGTGGGAAAGCATCTCTAAGATCAGAGAGTTGGATGTAGCTGTCAAATGGCACATCTGACAAAACTTGCAACTGAATGGGCAAAGTTAAAGGAACTAGCAAAAGCAATTCTGTACCATCAGCTGGAGTAGGTAATAGTGTACAGTGCTGAGTTGTTTTTCTCACAGTTATTAGTTAACTCATTTTATGTGTCAGTTTGTTTCTTTTCTTATTCTTTTCCTTTTGTATTTGACGTCCTCAACAGAGAAAACTCTAAAAACACCTGACACCGGACCACAAAATATTTTGGGTTTGGACATTGCTGAATGGCCAATCCAGAGACTGCTAGCCTGAAATCCAGAGATGTGGCCAAATCCTTCTACAAAAGAGCAAACCAGGACTGTGTGGCACCATGCTGCAGTATTATTTAAAGGCCTATATTAACTCTTCAATAGATCAGAGCCTGTCTCTGATGTTCCTTCCACTTAGCAGTAGGTGACAATGATGATGCAGTGTTACTACAGGAGCAACAACATCTAAACATCATTTGAAACCCCTGAATTGAAAGACGAAGGCAAAAATACAAAGGAAAGGAAACAAAGCCAAATTTTATGGGCGGAAAATAGAGTCCTGCAGAATTCTGTGGTCATATCTCCTCCCTCTCCTCTCTTGCTTCACTCTGCCTGTTCTCCTTGGTAGTATCAGGTGGAGCTCCTTACCTTCAGCAGCTTCATGAGGCTTTCTAACTGAACCATAAGCTCCCTCCGGCTTTCCTGGAGAGCAGACATCCTTTGTTCCAGCTCATCCTTCCGCTGTCTGAAAAACAAGCAGACCCGATCAGAGCTTATCCCTCACAGCATCAGCAGTGTTTAATTGCATCGTTTCCCCAGCCTGACTAGGAGGTATATGCCTATAGACCATGGGAAAGCAAACTCACTGTATGAGTTTCAGCATAGTGCTTAGAAATGGGGCTACATGAAAGCTAGGGAGTTCCCTCATACTGAGAATATTCACGGGACTGAATACAATGATTAGGAAAAAGACAGACACCAACACAGACCCTTCTTCCAAAGAACAAATGAGCTTCAAACAAATTTGTGTTATATTCCCTTGTGGGAACGCCTGGCAATTTTTGCCTTTGGATTTCTCTAGTCAATAACCTCACTAGCTGTCAGGAGAAATTAAAGCCATGCCCTGAAGGACAGGAAATTACAGCAGGGGCACTGAACAGAGCAAGATATGAGAGAAGCTCGGAGAGTTCAGAAATTCAGCCAGAAAACCACAGTGATCTGCTTTTGCTTTTTTTTTTTTTTTTTTTTTCTTCCCCTGAAAGCAAGAGTAAGACTATCACATAGAGGAGATATAACTGCCTGAAAACAGCTCTTTGGACTCGGGATTCCAGTGTGGGTCCTGTGACAGTGTGAATACGGAGCCCCTCCAAGGGTGACAGCCAGTTTGTGCCCACATAAATGGAAACAGCTTGGATTCTGCACAGCTCCTCTGTACAGGACGGGGGTTCAGCACTTGCACATGTTCAGTCGCTAAATTGTGTGAGAGGTCCCCATATAAAGACAAAATAAAATTATTGCCCCCCCAGAGGCAGTGACATAATCAACAACATTACTGTTGAAAAATATACATATTAGGTATATTTTATATACTGCTGTGTTGCAAATAACATAACAACACTATGTCGTTAGCCTTGTACTACCTACAAAATATGACAATTTAATCCTAAATGGAAAAGTACCTGAGCCGTAAGACTTCCTATATTTAGGGAAATATGAAACCCTGATTTTGAGCCTTCTCTGTAAGTGAGCAGTTACTGATATAAACAACACTGATTTCTACAGGATTGCTCATGTGTGCTCTCTCTCACCTATATAATAGGATCATACAGTAACACTGCCAGGTTGTATTTACTCTTCTGGGGGATTAATCTGATTTCTGCTACAAATTGCCTGTGCTCGCTTTTCTTTTCCAGGCATGTAATGGCTGGAAATGCTATGAACTGTACAAAGGCAACTGAGTCTAAGAAACTGCTAATAAAAATAAGATACCCTATCCATGTAATTTGAAGTGGCAGGTCCTAGCACAGACCTCTTGCTGGGGTTTAGATGGATTCTACGGGGAGAGAGGATCTAAGCAGTGTGCAATGTACAGGCCGCTCCTTGGATTTTTTTCTGCCACTGTACTCCAGAGTAAGTTCTTGGAAGTAATGGGTTTTCCAACCTGTCTCCAAGACAGCACTGGTAATGTGAAGGAACGCTGCGCTCGGAACCTCCTTTCAGTGAGTCTGCACACCGCAGCAGCTAGTGAAAGATGCTGGGACAAGTACCCACACCATAATATACAGATTCCAGCATTTCTTAATATTATATGAACTAAATTGGTCTACTGCCCTGATTGCTTCAAGCCCCAAAACTCTGTGGGGTAACGGATGTAAATCAGTGCTGCTGTTCCGAGTCCTGTTTTACACATGATAAAAGCAGCCTTGTGACATCTTAAGCGTCTAGGAGTTTGAGGTGGTGTCAAAATTTCACAGTAAATCAAAAGCCAATCTTTTGCCTTTCAAATGGCAAGAAGGTGTGCAAAGCAGTACAGACCCACAGATTAAAAGTTATTTTCTGACTCTGGTACTGCATATTAAATCAGAAAAGATATCATAATTGAGGAACTCAGCATCTCTGCCCTAGGGACATCACATGTCAGGAAAATCAAATAGGAATATTCTGCTTTTAATATGTGTAGCAAAATTGGAAAGAGGGAAAAATTATGTAGTCAGTCCACTAACACTGCACAATCATTTGATTTTTTTTTTTTAAGGATAATGAGTTTTATTTGTCAACTACATAGAAAGCTGATCTCCTAAACCTGCTTAAAATAAACTTTCGGCTTGATGCACAGGAGCTACATTATCGGTATATTTTATGCAGTGTACACATTTTCATCACAGTCAGTTTGATATATCTCACAGAATGTCACTTGCCTGTAGATATCTAGAAGTCATTACACACTAAAATCACTCATAGAACTGAAGAAGCTAATTTGTCTTCAGATTGGAAAGCAAATGTAATTATTTGTGAAACATAAAAATATTTTAGCGTGGAAAACTCAATAATAAAACTATACAGTATTTGTAAAGAAAAAAATTAGCATAATTTCTTACAGTAATTTCCTTTGGTTATGAATCAGACCACTAAAATATTACTTGTGTGAGGAGCAGCTAAGTGGCCAAAAATGTTCTTTTGTCTTCTCATGAAAGAACTGCTCTACGGGGGGGGGATAAAATTTAATCTAGCATTGTTCCACTAGAAAGAAAGTGTTTACACTCTCTTCTCTATTCACATGAAGCGTTTTGAATAGTTCTTACTGGATTCTCTGTCTGGGTCTCACAACATGAACTTCAGGACTTGCAGGGAGCCTACGGATCTGGGCCAATGACAATTGTTCTTCTGCAATGTGCTATCCATGGCAATTAGTAAATCCATGTAGAGTATCCTAATTAACATGCAGACGCATCCATATCAATGTTTTTAGCTTGGTGGGATAATTGGAGAAATGATCCTCTACATCTTCAGCTGCTGCGGATGACATTACTCCTCATTTCCCACGTGACAAGGAGGATCATTCCGCAGCCTGGTTTTGTACCACGAAGAGAACGGACCTCTCCTCAAGAGTTCAACACATGGGGAAATTTCCAAAAATTAACGTTTAATTCTGGCTGTATTTTCATGTAGCTCTGTATTTACTTTAGCATAAACGAGAAGTCTGTGTGGCAGCATTTGTTCTGACAGAACAACATTTTTCCCCATATAATTAATGGCATTTGGACAGGGCTGCGGGGACCTATTCCAAATGACCTAAGGGCCTAACTCTGCAAACACTAATGCACATGCTTAATTTAATGTAGATGAGTAATATGTGAGATTCCTCATGCATGCTGTTTAAAGCATAAGCTTAATTACTTCTAGGACTACAGCCTGTGTCCAAAACGGAGAAAAAATACACATTGTATTATTTACTTAAAAAAGCCCCCAAAACCGTAAGCCAGGCTTAGCTCTTATTTCTTCTCTTATTGAGAATGACTGGCTGGTCCCAGTCACGGCCAGAGGTTTCACTGCTGTGGTCTTACCTCAGGAGCCGGAGCTCTGCAAGGAGAGTGGGATTTTGTTGTGCCTTCTCCGGTGTGGGCTGAGACGCTTGCTCATGTTCAAGTCGCAGCCTCTGGATCTCCTGTAGGATTTCTCTTGGGGAGGAGAATAAGGAGAAGACTACAAGTCAGTATTTTTCCACAAAACCAGCTCACTGGACATTGCAGGAGAGTATGATTGTATGTAACTCTTCATCAGCATAGATATAATGACTGGGCTCCAGCCAACAAAAGAAGCCCTCAGCAATGGGAGATGGCTCTGGATTTTTTTTAAATAAACTTTTAGGATTTGACCATAAAGGGAAATATTTCTTCAAGACCCACAAAAATCAGAGGTAGACATGAAATAGCTCTATGCTTAATTAAACTGCTCCCTTCTAATTCTTTCCCACAAACATTTCAAACACCACATGAACTTAACAAAAATTAAAATAACCTCTTTAGCCTTCTTGAGTATCAGAGTAAATATTTAGCACTTAAAAAAACCACTTTTAGTGTAAGTAGAGACGTGAGAGCGGTCAACAAATCATGGAGAAGCAGTTTAATAGGACTCGTTACGACTGGCTTGCCAGTCCTGGAGCGCTGTCAAAAGGCTAATACAAAGCTTCGCAGCAGAAGGTTGAAACCTTTGTGAATTTTGTCTCTACAACGTGCTGGATAGCAGACGGTCAGGAGGCAGCCTCAAACTCTGAAAGACAAATCGAGACTGGAGCTGGTGGCTCATTACACGCTGACAGAAGGCAGCGCAGAGTTTGGAATAGGAAACCATCTGGTCTGGGCTGGCCTCTATTTTACAGTCCGGCAGTAAAAGCAGAGCTCTGCTGCCATGCACTTCATGCATCAGGCAGTCTCATACCTAGGGCCAGATCTTCGGCTGCTTCACTCCTTTTTGGGATCGGCTGGCCTATTTCTCCTGGACACTCTCTCTCGGTCTCGGTCACGTTTGTACCTAGTGTCTCATTTAATCAGCAGCCTAACTTGCTGCTAACCTTTCTGCAAGCCTTTCCCAGGCAGACTGTTCTCGAGAGCTTTAATCATCTTTTTCACAAATAAAAGCAGGGGAGCATAACATTACCAGCGTGACCGATCCTTTTATCATTTCATGTTATAGGGATCAAACTCAAAGTTAATCTGGTTTTGAATCAGGACAGGCTTTTTTTTTTTTTAAACTCTTAACAAACAGCAGCTGCAAACAGTAAAGTATCAATGATTATATCACATCATTGAACAGTACACTCATTAAAACACAGGGTGGCTATGGATTTCAAAGCCTTTCTCATCCTCAGTGGACCTTTTTGTACCCTCTGCTTTTTGTAGGGGGAGGTGTATGAGCATGTGTAAGCACATTGCACAGAAGTAGGTGGTAAAAAATGTTAAGAAACAAACGAACATACATAATATATGGGACCGAACAAAACCAGGTACTTTGTGGATGCTTACCGGTTTTTATTTTCAAGCTCTGCAATCAGCTGCCGTTGTTGCTTGTTTGCATCAATGGTGAAGGAGATATCTGATGCCCCTCTCTGCTGACCCTGCTGCTGTCGTAAAAAAAAAAAGGAGAAGGCTGCATTGAAGGAAGAATAACCAGCATGCACCCATGAGTTCAACACAGATCTGTTCTGTGAAATCTGCTTACAGAAAATGCAGTACCAGGCTTGCCTACACTAAAAAAAGAGCATCCATGTTGTGCTCGTACCAGTATGGCTCCATTGCTAGTACAAGCAGGCTAAGTGCTAGAGTAAATAAGACTCAGTGTTTACCATCCTGTCATTCACTGCTTCTTCAAGGAGCTTCCTCTGAACCAGTCGTAAAAGGCAACGGTGCTGCCACAAGCAGTTGCTGTAGCATGGCTCTTAATTTTGATACTACAGACAAGAGGAAGACACTGAAGCAAAAACCTCTCTCCAAAAAGAAGGGGATGTGTTTCTCGTGCAGTGAAGCTTCGTTCTCTTGAAAGTATGGTTTTACTTTTGGTTTGAAAGCTGTACTCAGCTTTCAGTCTGGCTCTGTGGCCCATTTGGCCAAGTTTTTCTATACGCTCTGACGATAATTCAGAAAACCTCTTTCCCCAGTCCTTTGGGTACAGCAGAAGCCTTTTTCCCCCAATAAAATGAAGTGGGAATTAAACTATTTCTTACCAAACTAGGCAGTGCTCACTACAGCTTGCTATGCTCTAGGACTATGCTCTTTTTTCACATTCATCAGCAATAACCAAATATTGTTTTCCTTGTTCACACTCCTGTGTTTCAGTATTGTATCAATGACAACACAGAGCAAGACATTTAAAATTTCACATCTATCAAAGATATCCATTTATTTCTAACTCCAGCCTGAAAGAATCAGACATTAAAAAATACTCTGCTGAGTTACTGCTGTGATCGGAGTGCTTCTCACCATAAAAACCCTGCGAAGTGTAACTCTGGAGCCCAACGTTATGTGATGCCAGGCACCTCCTCCTCCAGGAGGTGGAACCTCAAAAAGGAGGAAGCTACATCTCAGTGCTAACCTTGTTAGCACTGTCTGTGGGGAAAGGGCGGAACATTACACCTGTAACCATTTACTATTTTTTCTGCTACAGGTACATTTTTCCCATTGACACTCCAACCACAGGAAAGCAGAGCAGTGCACAAAGAAGAACTGATACATGGCTGGTGGATGCCCCGACTAACACAGGGGGAAGCAGGAGCTTTATCCTGAATCCCCAGTGTTATTAATACATTTTGTTCCTTAAAAACCAGAATGACCATCGGCAAAACTTTAAAAATTTCCACTGTGCTCCTAATGTGGTGGCACTCTTGTGCTCAGGAAGATTTCTGTATACAGAAACCTTCTCCTTTCCTTTGCTCTCTTTTGTTCAAAGAGCACAGATGGATGACAACAAGAAATTCAGTATTTTCCTTCAAACCAGCTGTATTTAAAAGTTACTTAAATAGTGTTTCTGAAGTTTTCCCCCATATCACAGACACACGTTATACACAACCGATTTCTACCAGTTTCTACCCAGAGACATTATTAATGGGAAATGTTGTTCCCATAAAGAATTACCATCCTTCAGAAACAGAACCATAACCTACAGGTTGCCTTAAATCTGCAACACTGTGTCACACCTCTGGAAGGGACTGATTTGGGCTGGGCTGGCAGACCCATGCACCCCTCTCTCCCCGCCGCGGCTGCAGGTCGTGTGCCCACGACAGACGGCTGCACGGGGCGGCAGATCCATCTTCACCGCCTTCGCCTGGGATGAACGTGACTCAATGTTTTTACAGGGAGAGCGATGCCTGATTTTGCCCTTTCAACTGACCCCGCAGTGTGAAAATACGCTTCCTGACACCCCGGACCGGCTGCTTCTCACTTAACCATCATTTATGGCACCTTGTTGTATCAAATGTGCTGAGGTGGGAAAAAAGTAACTAGGCTGACCTTATTTGTGCCATTTAAGATTTTATATACTTCGATTAGGTTCCTGCTTCATTCTCTCTTACTCCTGAATATAGTTAGTGAGGTTTTAGCCTGCCGTCACCTTCTATCTTGGGATACATAGAGCAGAATAATCATTGCTCTGAAATGAAAATGGGAGCCAGGGCTAATGCAGGGGGTCACTGCAGTCATCCTACTGAAGATCATTCTTTAAAATCCTCAGCACTTAGGGCCCTAGTGGCTGTGATATTTGAACTAAAGAGTAAAATGATTCACCACCCCATTTTTCCACCGCAGTAAATCATTAACCTTTAACCAAAGCTAGTCCAGACAACATTTTCTAGTCTTTCCTGAGTTCAGGGTGTCAGATTCCCTTTGCTGTAATTGTTTAAACACCATTGCATTAGTATATAGGTTATATGCATTAGTATGTAGGTTCTTCAGTTTAAATGGACTGCATAAAAGTGTTACTATTAAAGCATTACAGTGTCTGATGAAAAGGATAGGGAAAAATAATCCATTAATCATTATGAGTGTCAGATGTAATTTCCCTGATCTTGCCAAGACCCTGGAACATGACAGAAGGAAAGTACCTTCCTTTAATTAAAACACTTACTGATGAAGAAGTTTCTGCTGCCAGCCTTGCTGCATACCTGGCGATCAGCTTATGCTCTTCATCCAGGCGACTTGCGCTGTCGAGCACGCTGCTCAGGGTTGGAGGGGAAGGAGGGACGACATGTTAATGCACGGTAAAAAAGACCATCGCTCTGTCACACTGCCCACTCACACACCCTCGTTACAGAATTTAAGCAGCAAAACGTCGCCAAATTAACAACGGCAGATGTTAATTGAGCAAAGGGGAGGACTGCGAGGATAATTTCCCTGGGAGGAAGAGCTCTAGGGGCCAGGCAGCGCCTTCCTTTAGGGGGAAACAGCAGCGGTCTGCAGCCCCTGGCCAAGGCTGTGCAAGATGCAGCTCGCAGACCACTCTGTCCCAAGAGGGGTGAGAGGTGGTTAGGGCCACCAGTCAGCATCTGGTTTTACTTCTCAGCTTTGTCGTATCACCTAGAAGAGTGATTAGTCTTTGGATTAGCGGGAACCTTGGTGTTTGTAGAGAAAAACTTTGGAAGCTTTGTCAGATTTGCAACAGAAAACAGTATTTTGGACAGTTTTGCAGGGCACTTACCAAGGCCTCATGGACCACAGTTTGGAACTACTGATCTAGGAATTTATCATCAGACCTTCTCTTTTATTCTCGGTTTCTTGATATTTGCAAGTAAGATTTCGGAGAATCACATAATGGTGAAAGAACTAAACAGCAAATACACTGAATTCCTTTAAAGTATTGCATCTTACTACTTTTTTTTTCCCCCTTAGAATATCAAAGGCAAATATTTCTCTCAGGTTATTCCCTTGCCAGCTGTCCTTATTTTAAATGGAGGCTATTATTTAGTCAGATGAGCAGGAAAAAGGTAATATAGTAAGAACCTTTACTATCTCTAAACATTTAGAACTTTGTGGAGGAACCATCAAAACTAATAAACTGACAAAAAAAGAAATCTGAAGAGGACTTAGTTAACCCTTGATAATCCCAGGATTTAGAATCCTATATGGCATTACTTTTAGTATATACAAGAGAAAAAAAATGAAGCCCCTAAGAAGAGTTGAGAACACCACTTTGGTGTGTGGAATACAAGTCAGGCTGCAGACTATCGCAGCCCGAGGTAAGCCTAACCTCTTCTCTTACCCCTTGGCAAGTGTCTAAAGTTTTGGCTAAGGGAGACAGGCACAGGCCTCCCTGCCCATGGGCTCGCCAGGGCACGTGACTGGTTGCTGGCGAATGAGCTTCACGTTTCAAAAGAGTGTGCAAAACAAGGGTTATTTTGGGCATGGGAATCTTACTCTGATTTTTGCCAGAAATTGTATCTTGAACTTGAAAAGCCTTGCAGATGAAAATAGCACTGGTGCAAAAGGTTCTGCTTTTGAAGAATCAGCTTCTTTAAAAGGAAAAGGAAATATTTCTCCAGAATTTCTCAGTGACTTCATATCCCCAGGTACCTCGGGGAACTACAATGCACATCTTTTGGTTGGCTTGATTAAGTCCACTGGGATTTAGAAGTTATGTCTGAAAGATGAGTAGTGGTTGATATCCACTGATCGTTAAACTAAAGCTAGGAGTCCTGTGGATTTGTTATGGCTTGCTGAGGTAAGGGAAAAGAGACAAACACCATTTTTCTCTCATTCTGACAATAACCTGTGAGCCCACAGACATGAAGTTTAGAAAAACAGTAAAGCTACAAGACAGACCCAGAGGGTTCTGTGTAAGCTAAGCTTGTGTGGCAGACCAAATATAAGACTTCTGGTGGTAGATGAACACTGATTTTTTTGGTTTTGGTTATGTTTAACTTATTTTGTTGCACACATAGCTTGATTCTACGCTTACTCAGATTCTTGTGGGATAACTGATTTACTTTCTGAAAAGACCCAAGCTAAAGATATTTTTCTAGATTGATACAGTTCTGCTTCTTACATAGTCATGCTTACTGTCCTTGTATGGCATGCAGAGAAAGAAAGGGGCAAGCAACTCTTGCAGACACATAAAATTATGCAAACCAGGTAATAAGGGTTACTTTCATGACAGTATAATTAATTTTTAATTTTTCCATAATGACTAAACCATCACCTCCTAACAGATGGCTGTGAAAACAGCAAGCATTCAGCATCAATTCTCCTTTTTACAGCAATGTGCAACCATATTATCCATCCTGGAAAAATAATGGATTATGGTTCCACTTGCTGGCATAACACAATCTGCAACATGGTCCCGAGATGTGAGTTAACCCCTGAGACAATGACTGTACTGAATGAACCAAGCCACTGCAGCTTTTTGATTCCTACTTGCTATTTAATGTCTTTGATATATATTTATGTGTAGGTGGATATCACAAAATAGATGTAGCAGCACGTCAAATTTGGTCTATGAGTGCCACAAATCACTGGTCCCGAAGCTTTGTAAATTAAATTTCAATGCCTGAGATAAATTTAATTCTGGAATGTACCTTTCTCTGTGATCATTAAGCACAGAGGTATGCAGAGCAGCATTAGCCTCGACTGCCAAGACTTTTATGTCTCAGAGTTCTGATTTGCCATAATTCACTTCTGTGTTACTTCAGCAACTTCATGGACAACGATGCAGTGAAATACACATGAGCTTTAAAATATTATGAATATGTGTGCAGAATTTGGGGCCCTCAAGAGGATGATTCAGGCATCCTTTTGAAAGAAAACGAACATTTTGCATACAAATATCCTGCTGCTGATCCTTTTTTTCTAAAAAAGTTAAACAATGGTTTTAATACTGCTTCTCCATTAGTGACCTTTCCTTTAAAGACTTTATAATTATTAGCAATAATTGGTCTGGCAGAGTTATTATCATTCAGATGTAGCATGAATATCTAATCTTATTGCCTGTACAATGGGACTTCTTTGTTAGGCTTTAGTTGATCTGTGTAATATTCCACAGTCTAAAGGAGATCCATAAAAAGAGAAGGATCTCAAAACTCCAGACAAAGAATGAAAAATATGATAGCCTGTGGACAGAGGACTAATGCTGGAGGATCTTTGCTGTTTCTCAGGCTTTAGATGTGTCAAATCAGCCTGTTCCGCAGTAGGCACCCTGCAATAGGTGATATGGATGTCCCCCGATGGTCTTAAAATTATCTCACCACTGGTTAGGTAAGCGTCAGAACTGCCAATTTCTTGCGAAAATTGCAATGGCGGCATCAGTGCGGTCTTATTCTCATGCTCTTATTCTACAAACTTTCACTTAATAAATAACTTACTATAGAAAATACTGACAAATTAAAGGGTACGTTTCTAAGCCTCGGTCTGAGGATTGTTCATCTGTAACGCCCTCAAAATTATCCTGGTTTTATGACACTTTAAACTGAGCGCCATCACCTGAGCCCTCTGCTACTGGTAATTTGCCATTTACTTCAGAATCACCAAGATTTTACCACCACAATGTTAATACCACTAAGGTATGTGCATATAATCATAAAAACTAACTCAGTTCAAGGGAGCCAAGTGGCTATACACTTCCTCTGTAATCGGTGGGTCTGTGAATGTTCTTCCTCTTTCTAGGGACGATTCGACCAACCCTCCTAGCTGCAGTTAGCTGCTGCGCACCCTCCCAATAAACATTTTTAAAAATACCAGAGAATGCATGGCACTTTTACAGTACAGAAATATGAGTCACCGCAGTACTACACAGCATGACATAACAAAATCAGAAAGTAGCTTTCTGTGGAACAAAAATAACCCCCGACTTATAACACATTTTATCTTATTTTCTTCTGCACCTGAAAAGACTGAAATATGTGGAATTAGTATTTAAAACTAGGTAATGCCTCTACCTTGTATGAAAAAAAAAAGGAAAACTATTTGCACTTAAAGTTCTTTTTCAGAATCAGACACTAAAGATGAACTAAATTAATTATCAAGTATTCTTTTTACCTGCTAAAACACACTTTATGATTACACTAACCAAAATATCTGGCTAAGGGGTACTTTTTCTACCCATACAGTTACTATAAATAATGAATTAAGTCTTTCTCTTGTTTCTTAGTTTGCCCTGGAGCACTGAAGTCTAAAAAAATCCTCAAGTAGCTTATTAGCTTGTGAGGGATAGAAAGGAAAACTTGTACTTCTAGTTGTGGTATCAAATAATTGCAGATGAAAAATAAAGATAGGCAATGAAAATTAATTGAATTAATTAAAAAAAAACCCCAATATAAATACTAGCTACACTTAAAACAGGAAAAAAAAGGTATACTGGGCTATACTGGACTGATCATTAGCTACAATAAATTAGCCTGACTCAATATGTAACAAAACCCCCCTCATTTTGTTTTGAAATGCTACTATATAGCTCTCAAGATAACGTTATGTATTATGCTCACAAAGTATTTCTGTAGGTTTTCCTTTCAGATAAAGATCCAGCTACAATCATTCCTCTTTTCCTCTTTGGCTGCCACTTGAAAATATGTGATGGCACGTGTGGGTATGCACGCGTGGTATTTTGCAGGCAGGTACAACAGCTGAGCTGGCTGGCTGCAGCATCCCCTAAATAAGAAGCTACCTGATTATGGAAAAGTATGTACTTTACCCAAGTTACCAGAGCTTGCTGAGCTGCAGGGTGAAATAACTTGAACTCAGCACCATCCTAACAGAGCTGGCTGGGTTTTGAACAAACTGCATCCAGCCACTTTGGGGCACAGGCAAGAGGAGTTCGCCTTTGCCTGATGATGCCTCCCCAGGCTGTAGGAGATGCAGCAGCTCAGCCTCCTGCAGAGGCCTCACCTACCTCTCCTAGAAACTGGCTTCACGCAGGAGCTTCAGGATGGCAACACTTTGTTCTTCTCATGTTTACCAAAATACAGCCATTCACTTTCTCAGCTACCAGTCTCATTGCAGAAAAGGGCAATGCAGCATGGTTTGATGCATGACTAAAGCTGCTGTCCCTCTTGGTTACATCTGTTAAAATCTAATCTAATAAATAACTGAGATTTGTTTCTCGTTGAGGATCCTGTGACTGCATTGATTTAATGTCAGTAATCAGATGTTATGTAATATGCTTTGCATTGGTTATTTAAACAATTAAGGCCATTATCAGTCACTCTCCATTCATCCCTCAAAAACATTCAATTTGAAGGATGTTATGGCACATAATTTCTATGTGCATATTCGGATACAAATGTGCTATGACAGTGAGGTTAGCTCAAAAGCTTGAAGGAACAGGTTGGAAAATACCGGATAAAACTTAGAGGACGAAGATGGTCAAGATGAGGCGAAGCACTCACAAGGGGATCTAACTGAAGCTAAATGAATTACAGACATCGCATTGGTAGCCTAGCGCCAAAAATTACTCTAAATCAAGTCCATTCTTTGCTGGCCTCTTGAACAACTGCATCAAGTAAATCACCCCTGGCAGGTAGGGCCACATTTACTTCTCCCTGACGAACCAGACCGAGTGGTAGTGTACTCCTGCCCTCTTCAATTACAGGCGGGCAATGACTGGTCTAAACACATGCCCCCAGTAGCTTGTGTTCACAGCCACAGTGTAAATGTTATTCAGTAAGCCTGCCTTCTGAAGTGCTGCTCCAGGAATGAAATTCCCCTTCAAAATGTTTTTGTTTTGAAGAAATGGTTTTCATTTTCTTCACTAAAAAAAACAGTTTGCCTTTTTTTTTTTTTCCCCCATGGGCACATTCCAGTGGGATGCAGAGTAGAGAAGCAGATCCAGACGAATGAAGGCAGACTCTTTTCTCCACTGGGCACAGCTACATGGCAAACTACCCCCATTTTCAACTGGAGCTACATGAAGAAGTGAATTTTGTAAGACTGCAGAGAACCATTGCATTCACCCTCCCCAAAGAAGTTGCTTGTTGCCTTATCTACATATAAGAGTAAACTGAGAGTTTCTCCTAACCTGGGAAATATTCTGCAATAGCAGTACGGGAAACCAAAGGGCTCTTTATGAGCAAAAGAAACCTTGCGAGCACAGTTTTGTTAGAAACACTGTACAGTTTTCTGTTCAGTGCCACATTTTCTAGGGCCATACCCTACGCCGCTCACCACCTTGCTGGTGCAGGGCTGCCAAGTCTAGAGTTTTGTTGCCCTTGGAGAGGTGAACCAGCAGTTCCCCTCCCCAGGGTGGCCTGCTGCGATGCCACCATCCGCAAGTGCTGGGACGGCAGGTGGGTTTAGTAGACAAAGCTCCGTATTCACTCCAGCAGAAATAATGAACCATGTTCAAGACATGCATTTGAAAACCCATCACGCCTGAGTCTGAATGAAAGATAAGGGCAAATTCACACACAAGATTCCAACAATGCAGAAATCAGGCAGAGTTAAAAACAATGCCTGATGTATGTAAAAGTTGACATGAACTCCTTCCTTCACTAGGCTAATAAGCAAATTGCTATTATTATCATTTACATACTATTACCACTTCTTACTTTCAAGGTAAGGTGAAGCTACAAATTACATATCACCTCAAAAAATTATTACCTTGAAAACAGACTTGTTAGTCATTGTTTTATGAAGGTTTCTGTACCATCACCCAGTCCTGCACCGACTAGAGCATGGTATGCCAAATGAAAGTGCATAGCCATTCTTAACCAAGCAATTCTTTGCAATACCTTGCTATTTAACATAACTAAAGAGAACAGCAGCAATTGCCACAATTCCCCAGCTTTGGGAGGACATACCCCATATTCACAGGCATTCCCTTTAGGTTAGTGCTCGTAAAGAGCTGCTTCAGCTTGTAGCCAGGAGGAAACAATGAGAGCATTTGGGCGACCAACGTCCCTTGCCTGGGTTCCCCAAAGGTGCCAAACCTGCACTAACCGTGCGGGGTTGCTCTGCAGCATGTTGACATACAACCCGATGAGTACATGTTCATCGGCCAGCCTGTCTGCAACATCGAGGCTGTACTGTAACCTGAAAAGGGGACGGGGGGAGAGAGGGTGCGGTCCGGACAGACAGAGGGAAATAAACAGAGAAAGCAGGAGCAAGTAAGATTGCGAAATGGGAATTTAGGAATGAATACTTAAGTGTTCTTAGGAAAAAAAATCAAAACCAAAACAAACAAGTGCACAAATTATTTTGTTGTTATTGTAATTTATATGTTAAGTATTTAATGGCTGTGGATGGTAGAATCCCACTCGATTACAGAGTCAGCCTCAGGAATCAGTGAGATGCCAGATCAGGCCAGGGGCTGGAGCTGTACAGCACCATTTATTTCAAAATACAGCAGATTGTGAGGTTGACACTATTTGCTTTAATAGACTATGTACTGCATATATACGTTAAATATACATGTTACACACATGACTAACATACTGAAATCACAAGTTGGATTTGCTTGGAAGTATCTGATCAAGACCTCACGCATCCAGGTGTACATAAATATATTTAAACATGCCCTACTTAGCTCACTGGATTAATTGGTTAGAGCACTTTTCTCAGGGAAGATGTTTATAGAACACATTAAAAGCCGGAGGAATAGAGGAAAAGGTTTTGGTTTAGCTGTGTTAGTGCAAGCTACGAACATACTCTCTCTTTAACTTACCCTTTGCCTTTCAAGAAAGCTGGAGCAGCCCTAGCCAGCAGTTTGCTCTGCTCTACTTCAGTATTCTTGGAAGGAGAGCTAGTTAGTAAGACAGGAAAACTAAGAAGAAGGTAAACAGTGATGTCTGAAATTCATTACAGAACAGAGTTTGGAGAAACTCATTCAAGTGCCCTGGACTGAATAAAATTAGCAACAGAAGCTTTAAAGAAATTTTAGAAAACTTAAGGAAATGCAAAGTCAGGAATTAGAGGTTTCCCTCCTGTTCTCCAAAAGCAAACTATAGTGCCTTCACTGCAGAAAAGACAAACAAAATGTGCTTCTCTCACAAATGGAGAGCTGAAGGCTTGTGGAATTTCCAGGCGGAGTCCGAGATAAAACATCACCTTAAAAGCAGCTTTCGAGCTGGGAAAGCTTCACCATAACAGCCAAATAGCTTTTCTCCACATTTGCCATAAGATAGCGTCAATAATCTATGGAAATGACTTTTTAGATCCAGTGATGGGATACATCAGTTTAATTTTCAGAAGTACTGTTCCTCTGTTGATTGTAAAAAAATATATATATACTTCACCAAACCCACTTTTTTTCCTCAATTACAGTATTTAATGGATTGCAGTAACTGCATCTTTCCCAATGATAAAATATCCATGTTAATAAGATAACACTGGCTAAAAATGGAGATGTTGAAATGTTAGGTTTTTTTCATGCTGCAGCACTTTTGGTTTAAGAAACAACAAAGCAAGTAAAAAAAAAATCTCTTTTTAAAAAATTATAAAAATTATTCACCTTTATTTTTTGGTTTGGCTACTGATACTGTAAATGTCTTTGATCAAAAGATGGGTGCATGAGCATGCATGCACCTGTGCATCCAGGGATGTGGGGGTATGCGCGTGTGTACAGGCAGATGAGCTTGCACAAATGTGATGCATGATAAATCTGAGCAGTTGTGGCTTTGATGGACCCAAGATCAAAATCTTTAATATTAGGACAAAGAAGGAATTCATGTAAGATGAGGTGTGTGCCATTCCCCTCCTTTTGGGAGGTTAAGGTTGGCAGAGGAATTCCGAAAAGGATGGTACTGAAGGGTGTCCTAAGAACACAAGCCCTATTGATTTATAATAAATCTGGAAGATAGCTGAATGAAATGCTGTATTACACAAGAAAAAATGCTTGCTTACATTTCCATGCCCATCAGCATGCTACTTATGTGTGTTGCGCTTCCACTGAAGTGATATCCACACAGATAAACATGCTCCATGCCATCTAGAAGGATAAGTTTTCCACCCATGTTTTCTTCCCAGTTACAGAAGGAAAATGCATTCAAGGCATACAGGGTGTGCCATTTCAGCCAAAAATGCAGCTTTTGATTCTTAAAGCAAATAAATTGCCACAATGGGAGACCAAAGACCCCAGGGCAGATTTTATGCTTTGCGTTCTCACAGTGCAGTGTGATGCCCCCTCTACCAACCATAAGTTCTCCCCTCCTATGCTCCACAGCAACAGAGTTAGGGTGGAGAGACGGGCAAGAAAACATTACTTGTTGAGCAATTGATATGTCTATCAATGTCCGTTTCCTTCTTAGCTGGTTAAGCAAACTTCTCATGAGCTATGTTTTCTAAGCTTTTCTGATGTTTGGGGGTCTCCTGTGGACTCTGTCATACTGGTTAGCACACTGGTCTCCATGCTGTTGCCCTACATTGGGTGCAAACCTCCAGGCAGATGTCTCCTCCTGCAGGGAATGAGTTTTAATGGCTTTCCACATGATGCCCCAGGGTCAGATGCAATCTAGCAATCGTATTGCTGACTTCAGTTAGTCTGTGGTTCACTGCAACTGCTAGGTCCTCTGTTAAAATATTTCTGTCCATCCAATTATGCTCCATCTTTTATTTGATTATTTACTTCCTTGCAACAGCACTTTCCACTTATAATTACTGAGTTTCCTCTAACTGATTTCAGATCATTTGGACATCAATTACTACCATTGCAACTGAGCTCATTTTTTAATTTAGAAACTGCTCTCCAAGCACTCCTTCCCATAACTAGTTCAACCTTTGTACCATCTACAAATTGCATACACTCACTCTATTGCTCCCACTAGGTCATTACAAGAAATAGCGCATAGTGTCTGACTTAGGATAGCCTTCAAGAATCCCAGATGATATGTCCTCCTCCTAGAATGACAGCAAACTTTTGAAAATGTAATTACTGATTTTCAGTGTTGCTCTTATACTAATTTCCCCCAGTCCATGTTTCCTTTGGGTACTTCTGGGACTATTGTCAAAAGTCCTTTTAAGGTCAACCTGTATCATGCCTGCTGCTTCTTTTTTACCTACTAGACACGTTATCCTGTCAATGAAATAAATTAGTTTGGTTTGACATAATTTGTTCTTGACAAATCCATGCTGGTTATTTCTCATTGGTTTATTATCCTCCAGGTGCTTACTAATTCTTTCATAACTTCAGTATCTTTGGATACCAAGGCTGCCTCTTGTATAATCCCTTCGATCTTTGTCCATGTTTCTGCCTTCAGCCTTCCTTGATTTGGAAGAGCTAACATTTATCCTTCTTGTTGTTCCTACATCTTGCACATGTTCCCCAAAATACAGCTAATACTCCAGAGATTGTTTTGGCCACAGTGAGTTTCTCTGGGTCCTCCAACTGGAACATATCTTTTAAAGATATATTCCTGTTAAAATGGAACATTTTGTAAAATGCCAAAAAATGCTTCCTCATCCAAATTAAGAGACAGAACCTCCAACTCCGAGCAGATGTCTACAAAGATGTAGACCTAACAATATTCGTGTAAATGTTATACCCTCTTCAGTGGCTACCTGGCTACTCAACAATCAGACATATAAACCCTTCCTTTAGCAGGTAGAATATTGCTGATGAAATAAGGAGGATTCTCATCTTGTTCTGAACATGACATATGAAGGCAACATGCAGTTCAAGTCTACCACACTTCTTACGGATAGAAACATGGACAACAGCAACAATCAGTATATTTTGCTCTAAAGTTAGCTGTCACCCAGAAATTTGGCCTAGTCTCTTGCTATGCCCAAGTAGAATATCCAATTATTTTTAGCTTTTATGTGGAGTTCAAAAAACGCACCAGCTACTCTGACTCAGCATTAAAGAAGACTCAGTTTCTCCTTGGCTATGGACATTTGACACCGTAGTGCATTCTTCCTATCTATCACAGAATTGCCAAGTAATTTCAAGTTCAGCAGAATGTGCTGTATCACTCCATTTATTCCAGTTTATTACTCCTTTAGAAGAACTAAATGTATTCGCAGTGACGGGGGGCTGAGAAAAATGCCAAAAAAAAAAAGTTCTGCTTCATCTTATCTCGCCTTAGTCCTATAATCTGGTATCTTATTTCTTAAGAAAGTGAAAGAGATTGTACCCTTTACTACGGTAGCTATGTAGTTGAAGGCAGCACTGACAGACTGCAGCTGGGGAACAAAAGAATCCGAATAAGGAAGAAAAACATTGATTCAGGGTATAGAGTTATTCCTCTTGACTGGGCAGAAGTTTCTATAATGCTCAATTTACCTGTTTTGACATATGTTATTCATTGGGTTTGCAAGGTCATTACCTGCTCTGCAGCAACATTCCCTTGTTCTGCTGCCCTCTAGGTAGTCGGAGATCACAAAAACAAATGTGAGATCAAAAACTGTACGTTAGCTACAGTAAAAAAATTACAGGACTTGTGGTTTTGATCACATACTAGCTGTCATGGCAGCAAATGACTGTGATTTGGTATTTGGGAGCAGATCACAGATTTTTTGTTTCACAAAAAAAAAAGAAAATCACATTTATTGCTGATCTCAATTTCCACGCTGTGTATATTTAGAAGAAAGGAGCTTGTAATTGTAATGCCAACCTCCTCATTAAAGCTTTCTGATGGACTTGGTGGCTCAAACTAAGCAAAGCAAGCAGAGAAATTTTAAGCAGACTTCAATTCTGAAGTGGCTTGAAGAAACTAAGAAGCATCTCAGGGAAAGCCTAAATCTGACCTCCCTTATGCTTTGGAATAATTATGTACCTACCCAAAATCAGTGCTTCAGATGCAATTAAAACTGCAAATAATATGTAATGTTCAATCTTCTTTCAGCTGTACCCCACAATTTGTCATTGTATTTACCAGTCAAAGATCTTTCCTCTAATAAGATTCTTTTCCCTTTTTCACCCATGAATCCAGAAATGAAGATGATATTGTGCTGAACTTATGAGACCATATCCTTTTCCAGCAGCAGAACGAGCCGGTGTGCTGAATTCAGCATTTGCTGCTACAGGGAAAAACTGGTTGCGAATGGTTATGTTCTTATGTCAACACAACTAGCTGAAATAAATACCATGGGAACGCTACAAGTGACAATCTATGCCAATTCTCCTTTGAATAAACATTCTAATTACATAAAAACTTCCTTTAAAGCTATCTGAAATCTCTGGGCTAGATTGCAACACAAATTAAAGTAACCATAAGTTATCTGCAGTGAAAACACAGCCAGCAGAGCTTTTAGCGTTGATTACTTTCAGCTAGAAATTTTACCCTGAGTTTGTACAATTTTTATTATAATATGAATCACGGAGCATTTAATATAAAATCAGCACAATTGCAAACAGAGCTGTCAAAGTCTGTTTCTCTGATGTACGAGAGGATGAGCTCCCACTAATGAGGCCTGATTTTCCCAGGGCAATAATAATAGTAAAACCTGAAAGAATGAATTAAGGTACTGTTATTAGTCTAATACAGATTGAAGAACTTGGCATTTAGCAGAAAAGTACCTTGGTCTCAGTACTTTCTTACTGAATTATAGCTAATGCTCATGGATTAATCAAAAAAAGAAGAAAGGTCATTACACTCCACAGTACAAAAAATGTGGGAACTGTTCTTATCCTACTGCATATTTCTTTTATGCAGAATGAAATAGGCTCTCCCTTTAGGTCACTAAGATGAGAGGGAATACTGGAAAAAGGGTGCAGCTACCAGAGGCATCGGTCCAAATCCAAAGCTCACTATGTAAATGGGAAGTCTTCATTAGCTTCAGTAGAATTTAGATCCGCCTTTTCTGTGGCCGTTTTGAAAAGCAAAGCAAAGGGGTCTGGGGAAGGTTATTGGCAAGTGGTGCTAACTGCAGAACAGTAACCACCAGCAGCAAGAGCCGTGGAAGAGGAAGAGGAGGCTGGCTGGGAGACCTGGCGGCATTTCCAGGCTCTCATGCAAGCTTCTTTCGCTCCTCGGTCAATAACGCAACAGGCAAGTCATACGCTGACGATGAAACCATAAAGGTGTAGTTTTTTCGGTTTTCAAAACCAGTGTTTCCAACTTCCAGTAGAAACATGAATATTAATCCCACGTGAAAGGGTAAAATGAAAGATTTGAGCTGTGCAGAAGCAAGAGAAGTTGGCAAAGCCCAGAGCCAGCAGGAAGTCTATTCAAAAGACTAATTAGAGCCACAGAAACCCTCTAGCCCACCAGAGCCTTCCGTAAAGAATATCTCTAGTAGTTTAGCAGAATCGCTAATGATTTAGTGCGTGAGCTAAAGAACTATGGCGATTAGTGGGTTAGTGCTCTCATACTGACCGTGAATTGTTGTGAAGCTGATTTACATACAGCTTTATAAGAGAATGCTCATCAGCCACAGGACTGGCTGCATTTATACCCCCAAGTAACCTGAATGATTCAAACAACGAAACCTTGTTAATACCCCAAAAAGTATACACAGAGAGCAGTGTGTTCAGAGTGGGTTCATTACCATAAACGCAATTTGCAACCATTTAGAAAGGATACTGACTTGACAGTTTGTAGGGTGCTTTTTCTTTCGAATAAAAAAATACAAATTAGATTTGTAAGAGATGAAAATAAAAATAATGAGAATAAGCTGTCAAACACTTAAAATCCTGCTAGGTCAATGAAACAAAAGTCACAAAACTTTTAATATACAGGCAATGTAATTGCTTTACACATCAGGGTACTGCTAACTCTGAAAAAGCCAGAACTGACTGCTGCATCATGGAAACTTTTAGCTGCACAAGGACGTCATACTATCCACTTATAGGGAAGTCTGGGTACCTATGGGTGGGGGGGTGGCTGTATGTTTATTGTCTCCTGCCTTCAGGGGATTCTCCACCAAGGAGTTCTTCCTCTAGGAGAAAAGGACTTCTAAAGGTTCAGGAATAATGTATGTTTAATCCTGATAGTTAGAGACAGCCGGTTGAATTGCTAAAGAACACAACAGTGAAATAATCAGGATTTTTTCATATGTAAAGAAAAACAAGCAGATAGTGCTGTGGTTATTACTGCAGGTCCCTGGCCTAAATGGCAAAGCATACTTTTGTTGAATGAGCACAAGGACTTCTTGGGGATAAACAGAAGCAACAGCTACACTCTTACAAAGCATTGCTCTTAATGACCTGTCCTGGAGAGGCCCCAAACAGATTGTCTCTGGCTTGCACATAAAATCCCATATAGTCCGACAACAGAAATAAATTTGCATTTGCAGCCTCGCTGTCTGTACAGGCAGCAGATCCAGTCCTGGGGGCTGCTTTGGGACTGGCTTTCAACAAGCATCTCAGTCACACCCAGCAGCTACTTGCACTAAGGTTAACACTGAGAGTTTACTGCTCCTGGTAACAAAGTTCATAAATCAAAGCAATAGAAAACCGTCTTTACTCTGGCATTGCAATGTGGTACACTGCGGGTTTGGTTTTGGTGTTAAAATACGTAGCCATGCATACCCAGAGATTGTTTGGTTATTTGGGAACGCTGAAGCTCTGACACATACAGCAGGAACTAAGCAATAAAAATGCAACCAAGGAAGACACATTGCTCATCTTCCCCAATACAGCAGGGAAGCTATTTTTCTGCCACTTTCTCATCTATGTGCATTGGTAGGCTTACACAGATTGGGTGAGACAGCTAGCAAATGCTACACACACATTTTGGCTGTATGAGCCAAAATACTGAGCCAAAATGCACACAGTCAGCTGCAAGCACCTTCTCTTTGGGATTAATGTTTCTGACGACTCTTCTCTGGTGTGTTTGCTCAGCGGTCACCATATTCCAAGACTACTCCTTCTCTCTTGTAGCCTTTAGTGAAAATCTGAATGCTTTAACAGGAGTAAGGCTGTGTTGCTTTATCTTGCAAGTATGAACACATTTTCTCTTTGTTCATATCATATCTTGCAATACGATGCAGACATTCCCAGTAGGCAACGGCATGTCCCAGTTCCTATTCCCAGTGCTGCTACAAAATGGCTTCTCACCAGCAGCCCATTTTCAGCCCCTATTGGGAGGGCGCCCCGGTTGCATGTGAGCACATTTTAGCGGGACATAAAGGTGCAGATGAGAACTGAAGTTCTGTGCTCTGCTGTGAGGAGCTTGGGGTGCCCTAACTCCAGCTCTCCATCCAGATACCTGCGTATCAGTCCAAAATAACCAAGGCGTTTCTCTGCTCACGCCTGTTTATTTTGTGTGTGGGTTTTTTTTTTCTGGGAGGGAATTGAAAATGGAAACCTCTGCCACTATCATATAATGGTTTAACGTAAATAAGGATAAGAACTCACCTTCTGTTTGCAAAAGGACTTCCTGAGGGAACAGAGTGGGAGAAGAGCGTGTCGTTCATGCTGGTTACAGGTCGGGGGGGCCTAGAAGAAGGCAAAATATCCAGTTGCATTCATTTTGCACAAAAAAAGCCTCCATCAGCAACAGTATTTACAGAGAATTCAACGAGTTGCTTGTTTAAAGTAACATTGCTACTGGCATCTTCTGCTTTAAGTAGCAGTAGTTCCAAATTAAAGACGTTGTGTTTTTAAGCAGAAGTTGATAAAAACACACTGTTACTTAGGCCTGCAAGGAAATAATGCTTTTGTGTGTTCTGAAGTTTTAAGCAACTTGCTTCATTTTTTCCCTGCTGCTTTGGCAAAATAACCCTAATAATAATAATAATAATGGAGACCTTATTGCAGCCTTTCAGTACTTAAAGGGAGCCTGTAGGAAAGATGGGGAAAATCTTTTTAGTAGGACCAGCTGTGACAGGACAAGGGGTAATGGTTTTAAACTAAAACAGGGTAGGCTTAGACCAGAGATAAGGAAGAAATTCTTTACAATGAGGGTGGTGAAACACTGGAACAGGTTGCCCAGAGAGGTAGTGGAAGCCCCATCCCTGGAAACATTCAAGGCCAGGTTGGACGGGGCTCTGAGCAACCTGATCTATTTAGAGGTGTCCCTGCTCACTGCAGGGGGGTTGGGCTAGATGACCTCTAGGGATCCCTTCCAACCCAAAATATTCTGTGATTCTATGATTCTATTGCCATTAGTCCAGGGTGCAGTCACTGCTTTCAACCAGCTAGGCTGAGCACTGCTAGCAGGTTCGCTGTGGCAGCATGTAGGTCTGCAGGGGGTAACTGCCAATAAATTACACATCTTTTCATGAGGTTACCCCTGGTGCCAAGCTCCATGCTACCATATCCACATAGTGACCACAGCATACCCTTACTCTCAGAATCCAATAAAATACGTATAGAGCTAAACTGGTTTAACTGCAAAGCTTTTCAACTGGTACATCAAACGCCCAAATCAAAATTTAAAATAAGTGCCTAGTTTAAGAGGACCCATTAAGAATGATGGTTTTATTATTACATTCTTTATTTCCTGCTCTTACTAAAAATGAAATGAGAAAGAATATTTCCTCTGCTTTCTTTTATTGTCTACTCTTAAAAAATATTTTGTGCATAATTTTTCCTTCTGCATCCATCAAGGAGAAATTTCCCCTTCTTAATGGACTTCTTATGCAACATTGGGTAAATGATATAGACACTCTGGAAAAACTAAAAAATATGTTATCAAAATCACAGGGTTTTCAATCAGATATGAGCAGAACCTGAAGCCACATATAATTTAGACTTCAAATTGCCTAGGTTTCAAGTTGGTCAATATCCCCTTTAAGGTCTGTGAAAGATCTGTCTTGCTTTCTGAATCCTGCAGATGTGCAAGTCAAAATATAGTAGGCATCTGCACAATAATCACTGGGCTCCAGTTGTGAAAGACATCCGGTCATCCAAATCATTTGTAAGAAATGAAGAAAGCCAGTTCTGCACAGAAGTAAGCTATTACAATATGTTTTCTTTCTTATTTTGTAACTGTTAGAAAACAAGCATAAACGTGGTCTTTGACAAGCCCAAACAGATTTCTCAGCATGACAATACCCCAGCAATTTAAAGAAATTTAAAACTGGGAATGGAAAGATGTAAGATTTGGCATGTTATTTATTTATATGAAAATACAGTTTTAGCCTAACACATGCATCTGCAGACACACATGAAAAACTCCAGTTCTGGTCAGTCACAAATTTGAGAAGCAGCACTTTGTGCCCTATGTACCTATGGAGAAGTGTTTAATGCTATTTTTCATGGACTCCTTCATCAGAGCTAGGAATAGCTTGGATAAGGCCATGATCAGAGCCGATCCACTGGAAAAGTCATTGCAGTGTGAGTCTTGAAATACAGAGATTTGAAAATAGACTTTGAGAGAATACTTCCATCTAGTTTTATTTAATGGGTAAGCAACCGGTATTTTGTTGCCTGGGAACTGTAATCTAGTAATTGATTTGGGAGAAATAGTTCACACCAACTACATGTGACTACTGCATTTTTCCATTTCTCAATGCAATCACTGGCCAGAGAACACATTCAAATACTAATTGGGCGCAGGCTGGGGTTTCTGAAAGATGGGTCCAACCCTGGGCTGGCGTGTCCTAAACAGCAGAGGAGAAGGGAGGAGAGGCTGGTTCTCAGCACTGTCCTGGAGAAGGAGGCAGGAGGAGTGCTCCCTTGGCAGAGCTTGGGCTCTGCTTTGCCTTGCACCCAGTCCACCTCTGCTGACTGAGAAGGACGTGGGTATGTGGCACCCATGGACCTCAGCAGACACCTACTTCGGGTTAGTCTTCTCTAAGCTTTATTTCAAAATAGGAGTGGAAGAGAGTTTCTAGTCCCCAAAAGAGCTCTTCCCTTTCACTGTCTCTGTATTCAAAGACAATTATTTATTTGGCTCTGGTCTCCGATAAAAAGTTAAGGATTGGTAATAATGAGATTATCGCATTTTTTCTAAGCTTCTTTCTCCAGTAAGGGTACTAAAGAAGAAAAATACTCACCAAGTATCTCTTTTGCAGCCAAAACAAAATGGAAAAAAGATCATTAATTAAATTGTCAGTTTAATATGCATGTGGTTCAAGTAGTGCATTGGACAGTCTTTTGACCCTGAATCTGCAAACAGCATGGGAACCTCTACGCATAAAAGGTCATCGATCTGTTTACATATGCAGAGTTACTCTCGTGTACAAATATCTATAAACTCCATGGCTTTGCTAAGGTTTTGTGATTAGCATTAGTTTGTCAATTCTTATATAAAGAAAACTATATTAAACTAGTCTGAGCTTTCCCAAGGCAAGTTTCTTAGAGGTTGATGCCCACTTTAACATTCCTCAGGTTCAGCTTGAATATCAAATGGATGTTCAAACATACATATACAGTTGTGTGATGTGAGAAGACAGGAACAGCAGACTTTATGGTAAAGCAAAGGAAAACTCAGCTGTTGGCTATAAATGTATATCTTTCTGAGGTTATATCTAAACTTCTGTGAGTGATTAAGTGTTCTGATAAAAGTGAGCTGATGATACTCACTCAGCTTTCCTCAAGGAGGCAGAAAACACTTAATACTATTGAAATATGCTACATAATACAGCCATGTTGTGGCATAACACATGCCCACAGTAATAAACCAAATTAAGTACGAGGAATTTTCCAAAGGGCTCCATGCTGGTCTAACCTCTTCACACTGACGTAAAAAATAATGCTCCCACAGGCTTAGATGGAAACAAAGTCAGGCCAGTGGAGAATGCATTTGAAAAATACCTCCATGATGCTCTGGCCACGCCATTTGCCCTCTCTGCAGCCTGGTGTTTATTTTGTGCTGCCAATCTTATGTGTAGAAAGGAAAAATGACCCCTCCATCGGTGGGGGCAGTTCCTCCATCAGGTTAATGACACCTTGATAACTACTTCTCTAGATGAGCCTTAGATGTGTTTCTGGCTTAACTGAAAATTTTTTGTGCACCAGTAAAGCAGGAAACCCATGCGGTCTTTCTGTCTGGTACCACTCAAAGGTAGAAGAATGATGAAAAGGAAAGGCTGTATAGTAATGCAGAGAGTACTTGTCCCCATTTAAGCTAGAAGCTAAGAAAAGGATGCTGTTTTGTTGCCAAAATTCTTCCATTTAATGCACATATAAAACCCTTTTTGCTTGGATTCCTGCCCGGAGCTGTTTCTCTCAACTTCCATTATGTTTAAAAATAAAAATCACACCAGCAAGAAGATATTCTCAATGAGGTACTGTAGCATATCTCGCCCCTCAGTTAATTTATGTGAATTATGCCATAGATCATGCTACCTCCACAACTTACAGGTTTTTCACTCATGTATCATTATAGCCAATATATTTCGCCAAGTTACATTGCCTTCAATTTATGAATAAAGAGAACTCTATCATAAAGCAAAATAGATGGTGGTGTGTTCTCACATCCAATCACTCTAAATTATGTCTGTATAGTTAGGATGAAGGGAAGGTGTTAATTCCACAGCAAAGATTTGCAACAGATCCTACTCAACTGTGGTACCTTCCCCTTGCCTTGCCTAAATGCACCGTAGCCCAGTTTTCACTAGCCGTTATCTTCTGACATACCCCCAGGCCTTTGAGGGCCTCCAGCCAAGAGGGAACAGAGGCTTCTCTTTCAGTTTCATGCTCCCTGTCTCTTTCCATTTCTCTTAAGGATGGCCAAAATCTGTTCTGTGAAATTATCCCTGACTTGCCAGCAGAGCCAGGCTTTTACACCATGCACAGTAGTGGCATAGATCAGCAGATCCAACTCCGGATGTTTCTTCCAAAACCCAACATCCTCCCGTTACACCTCCATAAAGAGGTGCAGGGGTCTTAACCGACAGTTGAGTGTTAACAGGGATTTGGCACTACGTGTCTGTCAGAGGCACCTTGTGTCTGAAGAGCAGAGCACTCTTCTATGCCTTGAAAAAGTTCTGCTATAACCACATGAGGAGGAGCGTCAGCAGGACTTTATGCTTAAAATGTCAGGGAGGTTAGGTGACCCTTCCAGATCTTGCACGGCCCACAACGGCCAGCATGCACTTGTCCTTAAAGATGCTATATATAAACATTTGGTACTGACAAAAGTAAATACGTATAATAATTACAGACCAGAATAGTTCCAGCAGCCAGTAATACAGATATACAGCATGCAAATATGATTTCCATGGCTGCTGCCTGAAATGTTTCAGTCAGAGCCCCTGGGAAGATGGCTGTGAAAGATATTTTCTTAAGAAATATATCAGAATAAGAGAAATACTTTAAAGACATTATTTTTGGAATAATTTTTCCAAATTCTTCCAACCAATGTCTTGATTTTTCCTGAATTCTATGGAAAATTTAGCTTTTTTAAGGACCCATAAATCAAAGGTAAAACAAACTGATAAATGAGAAAGTCTGAGCAACTGCCATTACGGATGGTGGACATGTTTCAGGAAAAATAAATCCAAAGTGATAATTTCCCCACCCTGCACAAACACATTTTCTCTCTGCTTTTGAGTTTCTTGACTCCTGCAGAGAAAAAGCAGTGACACAAGGTACTATACTGAAAAAAAAATTTTGCTTTCTCAAAATATCAAAATATAAAGATAATAGACCCTCTTAAAGTGACTTGGCAATTAAAGACACACTTTTTATGCAGGCTCATGGAACTCTTCGGGGCTGGGTGAAGCCACAGGTCCACTAAAGTCA